GCAGTCAATCCTTGGTAGTGCATTTCATCCTCTTTAAAACTTGTGTATTGGAAATACCAATATCCTATTGGATGCCTTCCATTCAATGAACATATTCAACTTATAGTTCCTACCTATTTACTTAGGATTAGTATTCAATGTCTGTTAGCATAACATTCACTTTTCAATATAGGTAGAAGTTATATTGACATTGTAATGTGGAATCTGTTCAACCTGTGAATATATTTTTGTAAATTCAGTATTCTACCACACTATTGTTATTGTTACATTGTTCTTACTGTTCTACTGAGAAACCTCATCAACGAAGCTGTCAACACTTTCTTCAAACTTTTATATTCCTGTTTATGTTTGTCTGTTAGATGAATGTATATCTCAACATTAACAGTTTTATGAACTAGATAGAAATTTTCTTGTAATTTATTCAACCATGTTTTGTAATATACTTAAACGAGATAGTGAATAGAAAATGCATATAGCCTTTGATAGGATAAAGCCTAGTCTGTAGATTGACTGTTTTCAATCCACTTTATGAGGATAAAATTATGTAAAAGCATCTTGATTGTATGACTTAGATTCGAGGTTGAAATGAAATCAGTAGTATAAATTCTTATTCGTTAACTTTCCCTTGAAAAAAAACTGTTTATTCACTAGGGATTCTGTCTTCCCCATCCCTTTATCATATTAATAAGGTAAGTACTAAGGTATATTTTACATTTGAAGGTGAACATTTTTGACAAGTTAACGATGTACAGAAAAAGAGTATTTTGATGTGATTGCAGGCAGATGTTTAAATGTCGTAGCTTTAAAGTTTAGCTGGAAACTTGACTTCTGAATTCATTCATCACAAGATGTATTATTATTAGTATTATTAGTCATTTGGGTTCCTAGTGGAATATAGGGCTTCAGTGGCACGTCGCCGTTTCGGTCTCTTCACTCCAGTCTTCTTAACCTGGCTCCACCAATGCTCATAACCTTTCATTTCTTCCTCATACCATTTCCCCTCCATGTCACCCTTGGACACCCAACTCATCGTTTCCCCTTTTGGGTTCCACTCGACTACCCGCCCTGACGCGTAATGTCATCAGATGGTCTTTTCAGTGTATGTCAAATTCATGTCCACTTTCTTCTGCAATAAGTCATATGTTGATGATTTAGTTGTGATATTGGCAAATCTGAAGGTTTGACCAATTTATATCTGGAGGTTTGTGGAAGCTTATTAATTGATTTTGGGTTGCAATTCATTAACGACTGATATCAGTTAGAGGATCATTCGAAACCTAGAAACACAGGAAGGTGGTTTCGTTCTAGTATGGGACTCCTCACCAGTAAGCACCTATGACCTCGCACCGTCCCACCAGAGATGGGACCTAGGACCTATAGGTTCCGTGGCCAGCAGGTTACCATTGAGCCATTGGGTCGGAATTCATTGCTTCACATTTACTACTCCCATCAGTCCATGACATAGTGTGACCTACGTCCAATATCGTCACTGAGTAACTGTCCTCATGTTCGTGAGAGGATCAAATTACGTATTCTTATCCATTCAACACTCATGATATATTATAGTAGCAGGGTAACACTAAAGTGTATTCTTTAGTGCCTTTCAATACCAGAAGTGATCAAGTAACATAATTCTAAATTAAACACTTAAGGGTGTTGTCAACTAAGCATATTACGCAGTCAAACGCATCACATTCGAGAAAATCAAACAAACATGAAACAACACCGACGGCATCTCATCATTATGACGATTACATGATTTGTCTCTGTACCTTATCGTCACCAGGTGATCCACTGACATGGACAACTAACCAAGGAGGTGTATTTTTAAGAAGTTTCATACACGAATCCTTCTTTAGGAATCTGAACCAGAAGTGTATATATCGATTAACGTGTAGCTGTTGAAGTAGATAAACTGGAAGAACAGAAAGTGGGGACTTTAGGAATACATTCTGAAGAGCCTATGACTGAAGGGAGGTAGTAGTGTGAACAGTGCAATCCCTCGGAATCTTATTGACACAGGACACTAAGCGGACGTCTTCAAGTTAATAAACAAGCAAACGAGTTCAATTCTACTGAAGTTTACTGAAGCTACAGCTACTAACCACAGAAAAACAGATTTATGTTTAAAATGAAGCTAAAGTCAACTTCTGTCTACCTCGGTAACTCTTATTAACTGCTATTTGATCATATCGTCTTGTTTCCTTCTAAGATGTTTATTCCTTCACTCTTATTTGCTTGCATCATCTTTTGATCACATCGACTGCTTTTAGCTAACTGAACTAAACTTCGAATATTTTGCTCATTTATTTGTGCAATCCTATAGTGTTAATCCCCTCAATAAATTGATTACTACTCTCCATCATTAGCTGGTTGGAGGGAATTGGCAGGAAGCCTTGCTCAACTCAGGCTTTTTGCTTGTTTGCAGTCGTCAGATATGCGTATCTACAACCTCAAACACATTCATTACATCGCCAGGGATCTAACCCAACCCTTAAGTTTTTCCAAAGAGCGCTTTACCATTCAGCCACTGGTTCGAATGCGAGTGGTCCATATTTTCCTACCTGTATCGATTCGTGATATACAAGAACCATCGTTCAATGTTATAGGATAGTACCTATCATCCTAGCCAACTTCTTCAACCCTACCAGTTACACGTTCACATCAGATCATGAGGAAATCCATCTCGATGAATGTCACTGATGAGCAATATACACTAAGCTTATTTGGAGGCTTACAGGGATTGTTTGACTTCAAATTAATATTCAATATGAACAAGTTTCCAATGGTTTCAATGGTTATCATTGTAAAATGATATCAGTTCATGAAGAAAACTACCTTGAAATCATTCAATTTTGACAAATCTTCATATCGAACAGTTCGTTTAAATCTAAGTTAAAAGGTGATAATAGCCAGAAGGTCAAACCAAGGTAACCGAAAATTGCCTATAGGATTATCATAAATAAACAAAGAAATAAATAAACTGTCTCAACCAGATCAAGACCAAGGCAAAATTGAAGAAGAAATATCTCTCTCTTGAATACAAAGAGTAGGCTTTTAAAATGCTGGATTGCTAGGGCTTCCGCTGCATTCAGGTGGCAACTACACACTCACTTCGAAATGTTTAACTGCACTTTGTAAATCACTTTGAGCGAAGACTCTTGTGGAACACAGTGACCACAGATAACCAAGTAGTCAAAAATCCAGCTGTTCATGGCTTTACATTGTCCTGTAGACATGCAGACAAGGTGGTGTTTGGAGATGAGTTTGGAGAAAATACAATTAGTCCGGCCTATGTAATCACCTCCACAAGATCAGATTCATTGGTAAACACAAATGTAGGTGGTCGGATGTGGTAGTTTCGCCATTACACACCCTCAAGTCGGTTATTGACTGGAGAAAACAATCAGAAGTTGAATGGGAAAGAAGATCCTCTTCAGTGCTTTGTACATTCAATTCCATTCTCAAGTACCTCTGCCAGTGTATCTCCTTGGAATCCAATATTCATAAACACCGCCTTCGTAGGCACCATATGAAGTTCTGTTTTGAGAATCTAAGGCCTCATATTCCTCTCAGTCAATCATGAAGGATAACCACTCTCAATCAACACTCCTTGAAGAACTTCCAGGTCCTCATTTACTGCATCATCAATACAATTTCTTCTTATTCATGTTCGCGGTGCACAAATTACATTTGTTTTCCTGATTAATGGAGCCCAACATTGAAAATGAGTATACTGACCATTTCAGCTTCATTTCCTATTATTCGGTCTCTACAAGGAACCTTCATATCTTCTCTTCCATGAAATATCCAGACAGTCGAATTTTGAGTTGTTTTCAGTTTCCATGTGTTTCGCTGTATTTTCTTTTAAATGTCTGTTTTGATAGTTTTCAAATTGGCTTAGGTTGACTATTGTTATCAACTACATTGTCAATGAATTTGTTCAATATTCTTTACATGTGACGTAATTAGAGAAAAACACTCGATTTTGTATCGTAATATGATGAATAGTATTGTTGATGCTGGATAGAGATTGAAGGTGAAATTGAAATCTCGGAGACAACAGGATTGGAACCATTGGTCTCTGGTCAGCTGACACTGCCCTCTACCAAATGAGCTAGGAGACTTGGCTGCTGGTTAACCACATCTTGATTTCACTTCAGTCACCAATATTATTGTGAGAATAGTTCAGCTTGAATTTTCGCGTATTTCTTGTAGATTCTTTCTATTCTATGTTTTATCTAGTGAAGCTGACTGAAACAATACTTGACAATGTGTCAGATGTGTTAAGCATGGGGTCAAATGCAGAGCCTAGAAATATTGTAGGAAGATTTTGCACAACCCCACGTAAGACCCCACATTTGGCTGGACATTGCTTTATTTGATCGGATGAAAATATTGACTGGGTGAGTGAATTTGTAGGTGCAATATGCAGTAGATTCGACTATATTTCGCCCTTTAATTGTCGTCACTTGTAGAGGAAATCACCTTGAGGTTGAATAAAAGAGAAGCCACGTAGTCAATACGTTTGACAACCAATCGAACCCTTTGAGTGTCAGCTGTATCAGATGCTCAGCTGTGCCGCTGATATGGATTCTTAGCCGTATCACCTTGTGTCTGAAACCACTGATTTCTCTCATCATGTGAATCCTAACTCCGAAATCTTATTTCCCTTACATGACTCATGCTGACAGTCGAAGACTTCCTAGTCTGATGCTCTGCTTTAAAATAGCCACCTCTCACCTTTTTCCAGTCGGACCCACTTGACCCAATGGCCTCCATCATGATATTCATGATTATATGTTTGGTCAAATCTACACCATTACATTCGGTCATTGAAAAATCAAAAAGGGTGGATGAAAAGCAGACAGAAATTGTTGTAAATAGAAAGGATACATATTTCCAGTGTCATCCACTTCACTTCATACTACCTTACTTTGAAATGCACTGATAAATGAAGCTAATATATTTTCTGTTGCAATTTTCTATTCAATTTCTAGCTTATGAAAATCAAACAAGGAATTCGCCGTTGGAAAGACAGTCTTGTTGGTAAAGCATCACTTAATACGTCAACGCGAGTAAATTACTGTTCGAATCCAATGAATGGTAATTGTGTACGGAACCATAGTATGTCGGTTGAAGATATTTCAATGGGAAACAGTCTGAAGACTATTTCAAGTGTGAGAGAAGAAGAAGGTGTATTCCAAAGGTATATGATAATAGATATCTTAAACTGTAATGTCTGTATGTAACATTTAGTTTGCAATCAGTGATCAGCTAACCAAAACTGAAGGAAGTAGGGTGAATTTCATCGCATATCCCCTAGATTAAAAGCTTTAAGATCCATAATTAAGAGTAGTTACAATACAAAGATGAAAATAATGAATGAAAATACTATGCGAAACATTGTTTGTAACCACTTGTTATCGACAACATTAGTTTTCTGAGCTCAATAACTTAAGGCCAGTTGAGTCTCTGTGATAGTGCTCCTATTTAAACATAGTTATGTATGTTACTGATGGGAGGTGGCTAGAAGTGAAATTCAGGATAAGCGTTTCGTCCTAATTGAGACTCTTAAACTGTATAAATCTGCCTCCAAGTGAGTGGTGTAAATCCCACTAAGGTTTAAACCTGGCAATACTATAGTTATTCATGGAATTCAGCTCTTGAGAGCATCAATATCTGTCATCGCAAACATCAGGCTTCGCATTGAGATGCAGATTAGATGGTGAAGGGGTATTTGCACCCTTTTTATATAAGAATGTTGTCGAAAGAGAAAGTATTTTACTTAAGTCATAAGTTTAATATACTATCAACCGTTTTATAATCGTACACTGCGGTGGGATATTATTGAGTAATTTTTGTACAGAAATTTCTCAAAGTTGGGGGAAATTAATATTTTAGGTCGAAACTCATCAAGGAGTTGCATCAGTAAGAGGAACATTGGAAACCTGGGAGCAATGGACAGCTGTTTCTTCCTAGAACGGGACTGCTTGACAGTATGCACCCATGACCTCGCCCTACTAACAGTCCAAATCAGGTCCTGCATGTTCCTTGGTCACCACGTTACCATTCAGCCACTGGGTCGGAATCCAACCGTCCATATTTCTTACTTGTGTCAGACCACGATATAGCGCGACCTCTATCAAATATCGTCGCTAAGTAACTGTCCTCAAGTTCGACTTGGTTGACTCCACTGGTCAGGACTTTTCATTGGAACTTTGGGGATCACCCTTTGAAGCTGATGAATTCCAACCTAAAATCGATTAAAAAATCTCCACAAACCTTCAGAGAGAATTAACCTAGCGCTCATTAGTGTTTAGCCTTGAGAGCTGATTCTTGTAGCTTCAATGAAATATCGTAACCACTGGAGTCAACCAAGTTACTCAACGATGCCAATGGATTCAGGTCGTCATATATTGTGATATAATAGAGGTAGGAAATATGAACCATTGGATTCCGACCCAGCGGGTCCGTGGTAACGTAGTGGCCATGGCACCTGTAGGTCCTGAGTTGTGTCATTGGCGACGGGGTGGTGAGGTTGTGAGTGCTCAGTGCTGAGGAATCCTATGCTGGGATGAAACACATGCCCAAAGCTCCCAGGTTTCCAATGTTCCTTTAACTGATGCCAGTCCATGATGGAGTCCAACCTAAAACCAATTATAAGCCTCCACAAACCTCCAGATAAAAGATAATATTTATAAATAATCCCCATCACCTTAAATTACAGCCTGAATTGCTGTCAGTGTTAAGTTTGATAAATTAAATTTGTATCTATGTGGTCAAGTCAGTAGACAGTAAGTAATTTCATATTGTCTACTGAAAAGTAGTGACTGAATTCCTTCGATCATTTTGAAATATTGTCACCAGGCCATGAGATTTCTCATCCCTATGATTGAGATTAGATGGATACAACTGATAGGTAGACTGTTCTACTTCAGTTTCATGTTTTTTGGTACTTATCAACATGGAATAACTGTAAACTCAAAGGAACTGATGTCCTGTCTGAGATTCAATCAGTGACTGCATCACTAAACTATTTGAGGGAAGCAAGCGGTAGAATTCAGCCGGCATTAAAGAATACACAACATAAAATTAGTTAATAATAATATTTCACTTTATTCCAAATAATTTGTGATACAATTTGGAATTCTCAGCATGATATATTCCAGCAATAACAACAAAATATAAGTATATACATACTACTTTGAAGCCTTTCGAATTGTTTTATTATAAAAATTCAAGTTATGTGAAGAATATTAAAAACGAGAAAATCTTACATTGTAAGTTAAATTATTGAAATGAGATTTTTAACTGTCACAAAGTTGATGTGTGATTTCTGTTCTAACACCCCTTTTTCCTCACAAAATATGCATACCAGGTAAGGTACAGTCGAATTCTTATACTTAGCTATACGAGCATACATTCTTATGTAGTTTCTCCTTGTCCTCCTTGAGGAGATACATGGAGAGAGCTGTAAATGAAGTGGATGCTCACTGTCAGTTAAAATTTCTGTAGCTAGCTACTTGCAGGAATTTATATGTGGATCAACTACAGTGTTAATCAGTTGAGCCAGAGACACACCACTCACCCTGCTGACGGTCTTCAAAGCCCTACGCAACATAACATAGTCCTTTTTAAGGAGAACAGGAAAGATTAATGGGGAACAATAGAGAAGAATAGGTAAAATTCAGGAATTAATAAATTGTAAAAGAAGCAGTTGAGTTATACCAGAAAGCCTCAATTTCTCTATGTAATAAGTTAAACGAAAGATTTTTTTACAAGTCAATAAAATATGGGACAACCAACAAAGGTCAGAAGTAAAACGCAACCCAAGATAGATAACACTCGATTTACTTTCTGCAGAAATACCATTGATGCAGCAGGCGTCATGAGATTTAAGCAGCTCACACAAGTCTTGTTTACGCCTGAGGCTAAAATTAACGGTCTGACATTTAGAAGGGTTTCGTTTGAGACCATTTGCCAACTTCAGACAAGAATTCATTTAATTTCGAGCAATCCAAAGAAGAGTTGACTGGAATATAAATCGTCAGGTCCTCAGCATACTTGATAAAATTAGTTTCAACAGAATAAGGCAAATCGTGCATAAAAAAAGGAAAACATAAAAGGAGAAAGTACAGCATCTTGAGGCACATCAGCTTCAGTAAGCACTGAAATGGAGCGCATCCGTTTATGAATAGTGTACTGTTTCCTTTCAGCAAAATAAGAATGCAGCCATTTTGTAACCCACGGCTCAGTGTGAGCTATGGCAAGCTTATTTAACAAAAGTGGTCTAGGAACAGTTGGCAAAGTTAATTTATCCCTTTCTCGTTTATGAATGTAAAACAACATATAATGACATTGGAAACACTTTATACTGCATTGAGGAGAATAGATTTATACAGATTCACTTTTTATTTAGCATAGACATAACTGAAAGCATGAAACAAAGCTGCGTCTATGGAATTCAAACAACTATCCTATTGGAATAATAAACATATTCATCTCCAATTAGTATCTGATGGGATCAGTTTTATCCCCTAAAAATATCTATCACTTTACATTACTCAACACTGGGAAAAATGGTTGTATAAAATCTGGATAAAAGGGAAAATAACTTTATTCACATGTTTATCTGTGAACATAGTGAATAAGCCTGTAAATTAGCGTACCTTTCCCATAGAAATATTAGTGAACAAAATAGTGACTCATTTGTAAACTGACTGAAGTTTCTTTGTCACTGAAATAACAACGCACTATGCATGAAAAATTGTTTTTCGCTTTACAACTGATCATCATAATACTCTTTTTTTTCAAACAAAAGTGATAAACGAAACATTATTTAAGACAGTATTCATCACGGACTGAAGTAAATTAAAGAACCATTGGAAACCTGGTAACACTAGATAGCTCTTTCGCCCTAGGATAAGGATAGACCTCCGAATCTTCCAGTTTTACGGTGAATGCATTAACGATTGAATCACTGTGTTGGAACCGAACTATTATCCAAAGTCTTCAGTTTTGCCTCCCCTTCATTTCAAATTGTTTTGCCTCACAGGTCATGACTTCTCATTAAAACTTCAGGACATTCCTCTGGAAGTAGGCCATTAATGTGCACTATACAGCAATGTATTCTAAAGATTTTTGTTCGCTATACTTATCTATGGACATAGTTTACAGGACTGATGTCTCATCAACTGTATGGGTTGACGTAGACGTGAGTGACAGTCTCAGGTTTAACAAGAACCAGAATGCTATTAAATCTAACTGAACCTTCTGGAGTTTAGAGAAGTTGGATTTTTAAGTTTTGTTGTTGAGTAGCGAGTAGAATAGTGTGAATTTTACAGTGACTACAAGACTTTGAAGGAGAAAAGAGGCAGAGAAAAAAGTGAGTCAACGATTGAGGACACTCAAACAGTATACTCTAGTAGTAAAAGGCGATCGGCAAACCGTACTGATTCACACCCAAAAGATGCAGGAGTTCAGAAATCGTAAGTAGAATGTAGGTGAGCAAGTTTCCAATAATTCACACCACTGCGATTTTATAGATGGATCGTTTTTGTAAAGAAGAGAAAAGGGAGTGACACTGCGAATCATCTGTTGAATAAGACACTTTCTATCCCTATGAACACAATGGGTTTATACAAAGAATTTAGTGATAACACTACGAAACACAAATTAGATAGAATAGTCATTGAACAGAGATCTGCAGTAGTCGACATATGCGGAAAATATGGTATATGTATGGCTGTGAACTATTAATCTTACAATCCTTTTAGCATCTGACGAATTACATACCTCTAGTACGATTTTACTTGTATTAATGGTAAGTAAATATTTGTTTATCTAACTAAATCCTTGGTTATTATCGATTAACTGGAATGTGGAACTTGTTAGCATAACGTACTTGTAACCCAGTAAACCATGATCTCTCTGTAGGGGCTCGAGCCCAGCACTCACCGTTTCACTTGACAGAGCACTATCCACAAGGCAACAGAGTCACGAAAACCACTTCCTTTGAGACGAATATCAACTATTGCAGGTTGATTATTATTATTATTAGTTTCCTGTTGTTTATTTTAATGGATGAAAATAGTCATTAAAAGATACTAATCAACAAAGTTCTTTAGAACAAACAAAACAAAAAGTCAATTATAAAGAAACAGGATCCATTTTTACTTGACCACTGGAAATAAACAATTTCGAAAAAAGTTGAGAAAGGAATACCCCGAATACACAAATGAAAAAAACTACATTATTATTATTATTATTTATCCCTTGGGTTCCTACTGCAACATAGGGCTTCAGTAGCACGTCTGCACTCCACTCTACTCTCTACAGTCTGATCAATCTGGCACCACAACTACCCACAAACTTTCATTTATTCCTCACACCATCTCATCCATGTCATCCTTAGCTAAGAAGCCTAACTCATCGTTTCCAATCTGCTTCCCACTCGACTACCTGACCTGGTCCGTGATATCCCCGAATGGTCTTCTCACTGCATGCTCAATCCATCTCCACTTCCTTCCACTGCATATTTGTTGCACGATAGGTTCTTGCTTCGTTGGTTCGTCACCAGCCAGCCAGCCATCCAGACTTCCTCCTTACTCATTCTTATTATTCTGGCCATCTGAACTTCAGTAACGAGCCAGTGTAGGGTGTAGTTGTTGATGAATGTGTGTAGTTTGTTGGAAATCCCTTTCGTGAGGTGTCAAGTCTCTCAATCATCAAGTAGAAGCACTGACTCACTTGACTGACATTCGTGTTGAAAATGTGGATCTCATTCACGCTTTATGCTGAGTGCAGTGCTATAGATCTCCACTCTGGTTTCAGGTTCATGAACGCCTGTCTTGCTGTCTTTTCGATTCTGGCTGACTTTGACTTCCTCGCTTGTGTCTGTGCCGCCTGTAGTTGAAACGATGCTGCCTAGATAAGTGAAAGAGGCTACTTCCTTTAAGTTTCCCCTGTTGACGGTGATTGGAGCTTGTTGTTGGTGGTGTTGGTTGGGTATCTTCATCACGTCTGTCTTCTCTCCACCCACTTGAAGTCCCATTTTCGCTGTCCTGTCTCCTCTGTCAACTTGTTAGTTTTCGCCTGTAGATCTTTAAGTTAGTGTGACACGAGACATAAGTCATCACTGGCGAAATCCAAATTTTCTAGGATCTTTTCTGCGGTTCAGCGTACCTTCCTCTTCTCGCTCCTCACTGCTTGCTGCATTATCCAGTCCACCACCATCTTCTTGATTATGGTGGACTGGATGAGTACGTATATCTTTCATCCACAGACTGAGTAAATGTTTTATGCTGAATTGATCTGCAAAGGAAAGATTGAAATGATTATTTGTTTTATGTTCTTCAACGTTTCATCATTAGGTCAGGAGACGTAATCAGCATTAATATCATTTCCTGATTTATTTTTATTTCAGTCTGCATATTAAACGTAAGGCTAATAGTATGAAAGAAGGTGATAAGAATGCGAATGTTAATGGAAACAGCAACACTCGTATATTACAGTCATATTCAAATATTGGATCAATGAACCCTATCTCAGACTTTCATCCTTCAACTTTTCATCATTTCAAATCACAAAGTGATTTTTTTGACCCAATATACTCAGTTATTAAATACTCAATGAAGGAAACACCCCAGTCAACATGCTCATTTTCATTGTGCAACTATTCAGCATCATCAATTAACCAATGTTGTTTAACAGATCGACTTCTAACAAAAGACATTTGGACAAGTCAAGTAATTTATTCATTCTTATATATAATTGTACAAGTTTACTTTCTTTAAATTTGTAACGATCGCAGATTATTCGCGTCATTTCTAACTATTTCTTTCAATGGATTGAGATGATCTACTTGATTTAGCTTCTTGAGTATCCCATCGGTTCTTTGTATTTTACTTTAATACTGTTTATATGTTATTCGCTTAGTGTTGGCTGGCAATGGGATCAAGAATCCGTGTGTTTCGTCCTGTTCTAGTCTCATTAGATGAATGCTTTTATATTCTAGTGAATGGCGAAATTTGTCACTGAAACTCAGACAGGGTGCCCATGGCCAGAAATGCCAAAACACAATCCACTACGCTACTGATTCTTGAGGGAATCTCTGTTGGAATATCCTCACTTAGCTGACAGTTTCGAAATAGAATTGACATTCAACACTCATAAAGCGAAGTAAAGTTATTACTATTTAGAAGTATTATTCATCATGGACTGACATCAGTTGGCGAACCATCGAAAATCTGGGAGCACTGGATAGCTGTTTTGTCTTAGTATGGGGTCGCCGTGAAACCTGAAGGTCCTAAGTTCCATCCCTAGCCGGGTCGTGGGTGCGTACTGCTGAAGAGTCCCATACTAAGACGAAACAGCTGTCCAGTGCTCCCAGATTTTCAATGGTTCCCCAACTGATGTCAGTCCATGATGAATACTACCTCTAAATTAAAAAATCCCCATTCATCTCAAAAATACATTATTACTATTTATTGACATACTTATCATTCCCCGTTGTTTTGTTGGATGGAATTGTTCGACCTCTATTGGCATATGGGCTCCTATGAGGATGCCTCGATATAATTAACATTCAGACAATATCGAGGTATCCGTATAGGAACCCATATGCCAATAGAGGTCGAACAATTCCATCCAACAAAACAACGGGGAATGACAAGTATGTCAATAAATAGTAATAACTATGACCCGTTGTGGTATAGTGGATAACGCCTTAGCCTTTGAAGAGATGGGTTCGGGTTGGAGTCCCGGTGGGAAGAACTTCACTGGGGTGCAGGTACATCCAGGTGGGGAGTCCGAAATACGACGAAGTGCGCATCCTGGATTATTCTGCTAGCCACAACTAACCAATTTATCATGATTAACATTCAGGCAATATGGAAGTAAGTTGTTCATTAACTGCATCGCAACATGTTTAGTCTGTCTCATTGTTGGTGGCTTTATTTCCAAGGACTAACATCATAAAGAAATTGGTATTCAGTCCAAAAAGTACGTCAAATTTTGAAATTGTTCAGAAATTTATTTCATTGAATAACTTGAGATTTCCATCCCTGTGAAGACTAAGGTATCTAAAGATTTTGGAAGTAGAATATTGATCTTGACCAATCACTTGCATATTACGTATGATTCATCACCTCATGTAGAGATAAAAACGTTTACCAGTGATTCACTCTCAGTTGTGTAGTTATGTTTAACTACTAAGCTGGTCGATTCTTCTATCAGCTTATAAGAAAGATCTTGTGTCCTGCAGCCTAATGAAATTGACACCACATAAATCTAGGGCATATATATACACTGCCCGATAGACTTCGTTCACCTATTAGGATGTCAGAGTTACTTGCCTTAGCTAATTTGTGAACTTCAGTAAACTTGCATCATACTGTTGCGGTATGATCAGTGAGTACACTAATTGACTACTTACCTAAGACACAAATGATTAGTGGTTATGGCAAAGTAGAAGGTGAACAAATACTAATCAATACGTTTTTAGCTCAACTGATGGTAAAACGAAAGAATAAAATGGTGATTAAGAGTATCCATTATCATCTTGACTATCCAATATAGCATTTGTTTGACAGACTAGGATTATTGATATGAGGTGAAATGAAAATCTGGATCACGGTGGAATTCAAATTAGCGGACTATGAGTTAACAGCCTGCCACTCTGTCAACTGAGAAAGAACTGCAGGTGAGAACTTAATTTCAACACAGTGACCAAGAGTTTTGTCCAATTACCTGAAGAGTTCGTGATGTATATCTGAACATTTAGAGTAGTCATAACGGTTGCCCAGCCAAGAATTCTCAACCCAAACTAAATCGAAGTGAACTGGATTAGGGTGGCGTCACATTGATTGTTAGTGCGACTATCTCAGATAATAGTGGTCTCGCAGATATATAAATATAACTATTATTTTTTCCTTAGGTTCCTAATGAAAAATACAGCTTCAGCAGCACGTCTGCACTCCACTCTACTCTCTACAGTCTGATCAATCTGGCACCACAACTACCCACAAACTTTCATTTATTCCTCACACCATCTCATCCATGTCACCCTCAACTCAGACACCCAACTCGTCGTTTCCTATCTGCTTCCCACTCGACTACCTGACCTGGTCCGTGATATCCCCGAATGATCTTCTCACTGCATGCTCAATCCATCTCCACTTCCTTCCACTGCATATTTGTTGCACTATAGGTTCTTGCTTCGTTGGTTCGTCACCAGCCAGCCAGCCATTCAGACTTCCTCCTTACTCATTCTTATTATTCTGGCCATCTGAACTTCAGTAACGAGCCAGTGTAGGGTGTAGTTGTTGATGAATGTGTGTAGTTTGTTGGAAATCCCTTTCGTGAGGTGTCAAGTCTCTCAATCATCAAGTAGAAGCACTGACTCACTTGACTGACATTCGTGTTGAAAATGTGGATCTCATTCACGCTTTATGCTGAGTGCAGTGTAGTAGATCTCCACACTGATTTCACATTAATCAAGGATGACCTCTCGTGCTGTCTTTCCGATTCCGGCTGGCTTTCACATCACCATCTGCGCCTCAGCTGCTAACTGTAATTGAAACGATACTCCCTGCATAGGTGGGTGGGTACGTGAAACAGACTACTTCCTCTAGAATTCCCCCATTCATGGTGATTGGTGCCTCTCATTGTTGATGCTGTTGTTCGTTGGGTGGTATCTTCATCACCTCCCTCCTCTCTACATTCACCTGAAATCCCGTTTGCGCTGCCCTGCCTCTTCCATCAACTTGTTAGTTTTCGCCTGTTCATCTTCGAATTTGTGCCACAACACATTAGACATAAATCTTCTACCATGGTCTCTTCATCAGTCCAGCCAGCATATGTCCATCTTCTCACAACTCCTCACTGTTAGCTGCATGATCCAGTCGACCACAATCAGGACGATCACAGGTGATAGTAGGTGGTAGCCTTGTCTTACTCCTTGCTGCCTGCACTTCGAAGGCGTCACTGTGCTCTCCATTGTGGATCACTCGGCATGTGGCGTCGTCAAAAAAAGTGGCTGTTGAATGAGATTGACAAGGGTTTTTGGCACTGAAACTGTGGTGTTGAATCAACTGCCTGGCAAATTACTTGTCGGTGGACGCTGCCATCGAAGGCCTTTTCAAAGTCGATGAAATTGAGTTAGAGAGTTGAGATGACTGCCATTCTACACTCTGTTCAATGATGATGCATAGCGTAGCGTGGTGTTGCAATGTGATCCGCACATGATTTTTGAAGTCAGCCTGTTCCGGTGGTAATGTTGAATGCTTTGTTTATGACAAAATATGTTCGATAAATGGACTCTTTATGCAATACAATGATTGTCACAAGTCTATAGAATTCCCTACCGAATAGGTATGAAAGTGAACATTTCACTTCTGAGATGTGATATTAAAAGGAAAAAGTGATGACTGACTCAAGATATCATTTTGCTTTATACAGAAGATAACAAGAATCTGTGGACAAAACTCAGTTACCATCTTACCCATTTACTATTCTATGCTGTTTTTGATTTGAATTATGAATCACTTAATCGATAAGTGATATTCGCCAGGATGTTTTAGGATTATCACTGTGAGGATGCAGGAAGTCGTCTCAGGAATCAATGAAGTTGTTTCTACACTATCTGGAAGTAAGGACGTGCTTTGAATAGATTTTTTTTTTCTAAGGTGGATTGCATATAGTTGTCATCTTAGAGATCAAAAGAGTGATTGTTCATTGCTTTCAAGTCGAAGATGGTTGTAATATCTTCAGTAATCATCGACTTAGTATCTACAACCTTGATAAGCACAAATATTGCAAAAAATAGCTCCAGAATTTGAATATAAATATTGAGCATTAAATTTTCATTACTTCTTGCAACCACAGAACTGTTTTGCGAAAAATCTTGTAGTGTAATAGACATTTTATTTCTTCAAAGGTTCTGCAATTAAGACTTGTAGGATGTGATAAGCCTCTGAGAATAGAATAGAATAGTACTCTTCTCATCGCCATTAATCTACTTAGTGATACACCATAAATAAAACGCTATCAAGATTTCTTTCATTTCCTTTGAAGTGTTTTGAATTTGAAGTTTTCTCAATGAATATTACATTTTTTTCTCCTACCCAATTCTCCACACAATGCCTTATATACTGCCTAATCGTATGCCCTGTGTAACAAGTCCCACAGGAACTGATATATGCAAGATGAAGAGCTAAGATTAGGTAGGCTATCCTTTAGTTTCGGATTGAATGATATGCAGAGATGGCCTGTATTAAAAGTCCTATTGACTGTTCTAGCTAGACATTTTGATAGAATGTCACAATTTAACTGTTCTTGTGGAAGGCATACGATTAGGCAGGTGCGTCACTGGATACTAGGGCATTTACCAGCTTGGTTGGAAAACAGAAAAGTGAATGTGGTGAAACGTTAAGTCCTAGGACACCTAGTTGACACACGATGTCATATAGATGCTAATAATGCTTTCAATGTCATTCATTCTGTTCCGAAAAAGATACCACATGTAGCTTGCTAATACGGAGGCTATCGGAACAAGACTGATCAAGCCTGAACTCCGCATTCAGAAGAAACATGTCAAAGCTTTGCTTCTCCCTTGGTCTTAAGCAAACTGAAGGTCATTTCTGCCTTTTTTATTCGTTTTCCTTTTGTTCATCACCATCGTATGATTCCTTCTGTATACGTATGATCTCAATATTGACTAATTTACAAAAGATAAACTAATTTCCTTACAATCCCTAGATCTCATCCCATTTTGAAAATGTAACTGTTCCTAACATGGCTTGTTATTTCTGGGAAAAGTGTTGAACAAAAAGTGATGGTAACTCTGTTTTGAGGTTTGTGCGGATTTATTGGTTACGAATTGGTACTCATTATGGATTAATATCACATGAAGAACCACTGAAAACTCTAAAGCACTGAACAGCTCTTTCTTTGTAGTATTAGACTTCTCAGCAGCTCGCACCTATCAAACATTGAGCCGAAGAAATTTAGGCTCCTTGACGTGTATGTTGCTTTTGAGCCAATGGGCTGGAGTTCAATGATCCACATTTTCCAACTTCTTGAAGCTCTAATTAGAAGTTGAAACCCGTTAGGTAAACCAAGTCGAATGTTAGAACAAATACTTACTGATGAAATCCCATGAAAGTGGTGCTATATCACTGAAGCAGGAAAATGAAGAAAAGTAAATTTCGACTCGCTATCTGTCCATTGCTATCAGGTTTCCAATCAGTTTTTCAACTGATATCACCTAGTAATGAATACTTACTTGAAATCAGTAAATCTCCACAAACTTCAAAGTTTTTCATAGAAGTACAGAAACGTAATACTAGTTCATATATTTAACTTTGCTTATTCATTCTAATTAGTTTTGATGACGTAATCTACCATATTTTATTCCCTTTTTAGATCATCACATTCTTTTCCTAATCGATCTTTATGTATATTTTGACATTTAAAATTATTCAAGAGTGTAGGCGATTGGAATAAAACTCCTGAAATATAATGAACCCATAATACTCTATTTCAATTGTATGTTTCATGTGTTGAAAGTACAATTTACACACACCAAAGATTTGTACTTTAAATTTCCGCCATTTATCAATTTGTTTGAATTGTAAAGAAGTAAAATATTAAAACAAATTTCTATGTTATCTGTTTACAGGATTCAATTGTCTCTGATACACATGTCTATTGTGAATTAATCAAATTGAAAGCAGATAAAAATATTTCTCAAATTGACAAGAAAACAGATAAACAGTCAAAATCTGAACATTATTCCAAATATAGTTTAATTTCAACTGAATATGAAGGTTTTTCAGATTTTTATACTGATCAATCTTCAATATCATCCACTGTAGAAATGATGCATTCAAATCAACCTCCAAGATTACCAATTAGAAATTATGGAGAAAGTACATTAAATATGGTTGAAAATGTAAGTTATATTTACTAGATATTCACGAGAAATACGTTTAGCCTTTATAAGAAAAATGATATGAATAACTCTGTGATTAAAATTAGAAAGGAATCAAATTGATACTAACGAACTAAAATCTTTCAAGAGGTTGGATGAAATCACCATCAGAAGTAGGAAAATCAGGTTCTAGTGAACTCACTAGACATTAGATGGGAGTTACATTGTATCATGAATTGATAGAGTTATGATCAAATGGTAATATGCTTACCATCAGACATGATATCACTAACATAAGAATAGAACCTAGATACTGTGGTAGAATGTTATTCCATTTTAGGTGAGTGTCATTTACTGGATTACATTTTGGACATAATTTGTTGTCCATAGTCATATCAAGATAACTCCACAACTTTGAGACGAGGTTTATTTAGTAATCATTTTCTCACCTCTGTGATATGGGTAGTAGGGTTTTCCACACATCTGGAACAGGGACTGAATCGCTCCTATTGGATGTGTTTGGTATTGATCCAGTCACCAACGGTTTAAGAGTTCAAACAGTAGTTCCTACAAGAAACCTCTACATCAGAATCGTTAATTAGACTTCAAAACATCTCGTCTTCTCTCAATCAAAGTAAGTTGGCTTAACTGGTCCCATCGAATACTTAAGCCAGACAACAAAGCTTATCTCTGAGTGGTTTTGTAAGTTTAAATGCCACCCTAATTCCAGCTTTGTTCAGGATCATACGTAAAGTTTCTGATGTGCCTTCCTTGAAGGGCAACAAAATGGAGGCTGTGAACTTCTTTCAACTTGTGTTGTTGCTACTATTCGGACTCGTGTGACTGTTATTTTTTCGTCTCCTATGTGTCCGTACGAATTTCTTAATAAACTGTGGAGGATGATTATTAACTATTAGCTCTTCTTTCATGGATTTTAATTCTTTGTCTAGGTCCTTCCACTGTTGAACTAGTTTTCTAGCTATATCACCTAGACATTTAACCAAATCTGCCTTAACTGATATCGGATAGGATGACTTGAAGTTTAGATACCTGTCGAAATGTGTCGGTATTCTGTACTCTCCAAACCACTGTCTTTCCTCGTTTTATCCTGAAGTCTAGCATAAGTAATTCTACTTGTTCACTTTCTACCTCATAAGTAAACTGGATTGCACCCACTACTCAGTTTATATGTGTGAGGAAATTGTCGACATGTTCCAATTTCAACAGAATATTAAGTGTGTCACTAACGTATCGCCACCGTATTTTTGATGCAGGGTAAAACGTCCGTAAGTCCACATCTTTCCACCTATGCGTAAATATATCTAATACGGTTGGAGATATTGGTGATCCCATTGTTACTACTTCTGTTTGTCTACATATTTTGTCTTAAAACTTGAAAAACGTAGAGGTCAGGCACAGCTTTATGCCTGATATAAATTTTGTGACCGAGTGGAATTACAGGCGTGGGTATAATGATACTGAGACTCAATAGACACCTCAACCGAATACTTTTACTACTGACCTCCCTCAGTACCTTCTGTTTCAATGAGCTGTGGAAAATCAGAAAAAACAACAACAACGTTTATTAGACAAATACGTGATATGTATGTGTTTACAAAACTGTCAGAAAATGAAGCCATATAGAAACCAATCCGAGTTGTCGTACGACGTCGAATTTCTCCAATCAGGTTCTCATGTCAGTGCATGCATAAATCATGATCTAAGCATAAACTGAAAACAACTTCTCTATTGACTGCCTTTTGTCGCTGCGTATGAATAATCTCATCAACCGATATCCAAGTTCTCTGGTTAGGTACTTGGTCAATATATGGTTGATTTCTGACTTCCTCCATTGCCTTATTGACTGGTGTTTTAGTAGTAAGACATCATATGGGAACTAACCTTATTTTCATCATCTCTTACATATAGGTCATTAAGTCTAAGTTTTAACTAGCAAGAATTGACCGAAGTAGGATTTGAAAAGGGTTCCTAATAGTCTGAAACAGTTAGTCCCTTTTATAAATTTCGATGGTGTAATTAGAAGACGAGGTTCATCTGAACAATGTGATGTATTTGTGCAATACACTTCGAACAATCTGATCACACATTTACTTGTCAAGTCAATATATATTAAACCGAAGAGTGGGGGGGGGACAAATGCAACAATTAACACAATAGGGGATTAAAATTAAGAAAGATGAGAACAAAAGGGAAGAGTGACCTAGTTGATCCTAATCTTGGTAAGAAAGCAAACTTTACCAAGGTAAGTGAAGTGTAAGAACAAACTGTTTTTACACACATACAGGTGGTTTCAATTTGTGTGTGGCTATGGCTTCCGCATATCTCAGAATACATCCCTGACTGTTTCTATATAAACCTTTGAAAGCTGTCTGAACATTAACTTTATGACCTGTTTCTATTATATGTTTAGCTATAGATGCAGAGGGTCGTCTCCCATCGGCGTTTATCACTGTTTCACACTCCATTTGTTTTTGAAGCCATTTAGGCACATGTTCTCCTACCCTCAACTGCATGACTCGATTACTCCTCCCTATGTATGTGTGACCACACACACATGTAAATTGGTAAACGCAATGGGATGTGACGCAATCACTGATGCAGTGTTTAGGTTTTTGGTGAAGCATGTGTTTTATTTTCTCCACAATGATGAGATTCGCCGCGTAATATGTTTTCTTAATGGCTAATGTCAGCCTACGTCTCAAAATGATATTATTTAACTCCCATCTGTATGGTAGAATGATATGGACATTTTTCTTAAGAACCGTGTATAAAGTTGACTTCGTTGCTACTTGACCTCTACACTGGTTTATCAACTTCCTCGGATATCCATTTTCTATAGGTGCTTTGGTCAGTAATTTGATGTCTTCATCCATCGTATCTGGTGTACTGATACGATAGATCCTATTAAACATGCACTTTATTAGACCTCGGTTGTATTGGATTGGACAAAACTGTGAAAATTCAGGTGTTGTCCTGTTCATGTAGGCTTTCTGTAAACTGACCGTCGACTGAGAAGTACATCTAGGAATAGCTGTTGATTATTATTCTCTTTCTCACAAGTCAGGCTGATATGAGTTTGTACAGTGTTAAATGTTTTTAGTAGACAAACTATATCCTCATGCCTCTCATAAACCACTATGATGTCATCAGCATATCTCTTGTAAAGAGGAACTTTAACGATGATCACCAGCCAGATTTTCAATATATGACATATAAATATCAGCCAGTAGTGGTCCTAAAGGACTACCCATAGCTACACCGTCAACTTGTCGAAAGCGTTCAAATGTGAAGTGAACTTTGTCGGTACACAACAATAATAACTCCTTCAGAAAAGTTGGAGTAATAGGAAATGGGAGGTTTTTGAGGATATATAGTCACAAAGAATGCTAATAGTCTTGGACAATGACACGTTAGTGAATAAGGAATTTACATCGAAAGAGTACATAATCTTGTTTTTTATATTCATGTTACTAAGGCAGTCAACAATTTGAAAAGAATCTTCCAATGAAAACTTACAGAATTCGTTTCGAACTGGATTTAACATTTTTACCAACCATTTCGCCAGTTTATGTGTGGGAGAACGACACATAGACAATATAAGGCGTAAGGGATTATTAGCTTTATGAATCTAAGGTAATCCATATAAATTTGGAAATTCCGACCCCATAGGTTTCAATGAATTAAATTCCACTTTGCTAATGACATTCATATTAAAAAGTTTTACTAAGTGAGTGGTTACTTTTGCTTCCAATTTTCTAATATCTTCTGATGGGACATCGGCTATGAATTTGCTTACGTCGCTGAGGATGGATAACATTTTATTTTTATAGTCAGATTTATTCATCACAACAATACTTAATCCCTTATCGGGTTTAAGAATGATTATATCCGATCTGATCCGTAATTCCCTCAAAAATTTGAAGTACTGTGAACTCAAAATGATTTTTTGTCTTGTTTCTGAATTATGGAATTGGTGAGCAAATTTAGGCTAATTTAGCCTATAACCAACTTTGATTATCTGAAGATGTGGGGACAAGAGGGCTCAATTGGTCGTAGAGATTTTCAAACTGAGCATCAATATCCAATTGAGAGATTTGCATGTATGGAACTGAAAATCTGAATCCAAGGGAAAGTGCCTCTTTCTCATTAACCGAAAGTACAACAGAGGACAAATTAGTCACATATTTATCTGGGACACATGGAAGTGAGTTTGCATGAATGTCATCAGAAAAGGATCTAGACAATTTTTGCCTTGTTCTATCCTTCGTTTTACTAATTACGGAGCTATAAAAACTGGTTAATTTAATGTGGCATATAAGAGAAATATCCAACAATACACATGAAGCATGAATATACATTTCAGTTAAGCTGTATAACTTCTCATTGCAATTATCTATGTGTGATTTCATAAGCCGAACAAGATTTGAAAGGTTGGGTTGCAGTTTAGAGGATCGCAACATTTTGTAAAATTGCCTGGGAAAAAATTGATCAGAAATACAAGATTTATAGAATTCCAATTTCATTTTCTCAAATGCGATTTTATACTTTAGGTTAAATAGTTCATTTAACCGTTTAACAGTGCATGGCGGTAGTCTTCTCTTCAAAAATTTGAAACATTTTGTCCCTTTTATGAATTTCGATGGTGTAATTAGAAGACGAAGTTTATCTGAGCAATGTATTTGCACAGTACATTTCGAACAATCTGGTCACACATTTACTTGCCAAGTCAATATATATTTCTAATAGGACATAATATTGGTGCTAATTACTTTTAAAGTTCATATGTTGGGGTATTTCTGAAGTCTCCTGTGGGTCCAATGGGATAACCTGGTTTATGATCCTTAATAACGTCATAAAATCTGTCAGGATTATTAGTTTTAAGCATTAAGTTAAACCGTTTAGACTCACCTGTAGATGGCTTTAGTCGGTGTATCAAATCGGCTGTAGATTTCTCAATTTTATTCATGACAGCATCTATAGGGTTCTTGATTTCTTCATATTGTCCTGTTTAGATATTTTCGCTTGTTTTGTTGAAGTTATCCAATTTCTTCATGACTACTTTTGAATTGCCTTTATCAAACTTAACAATTACTATATTGCTGTCATTCCGTAAGTTATTCAGAGCTGAATTTTCAAGTTTTGTTAAGTTTCGCTGTCTCTTCTTTTGCTAACGCACACTGTGCTCTAACCTGTTCACTAGTTGCTGCATTCAACGAGCTTAACGCTTCTTCTATACTAGATATGACATCTTCTACCCTTAAATGACCTATTGTCACATTGAAGTTTAGTTCTTTTCAAGTACTTTCGTCTCAGCTGAGCTTAGGACTCTCCAGGAGAGATTGACTACCCATTTTGTTCTATCGATGTTCTGTCGATGATGTTTCATTCGTAATCGCATCATCTTCTGAAGGAGATTTTTCTTGCATTAATTTGTTCAACTTTTTGACTCGACTGTTTCTGGATTTCTTGAATACAGCTGACGTTGATTTATCTGATGTTTGTATAAGAAATTCATAGTCTCTTCTGTTTACTATCTTCATGAGTTATTACACTTCAGTTGTTCAAGTTTATTCCAGATCCTACTTAACTTCCTGATAATCCCATGAATTTCTTCCTTGAGACAAAGTTTGCTGACATGTTCTATTGCTCTTCGGATTTTGTCAGTGGATAGGGGAATACGTAGACGAAGATATTTAGGAAAACTTGATTTTTCCTTCAACGAACATTGAAAATACGATGATTTGTGAAAGGTGCTTCAGTTTATGAAAGTTGTGTTTGTTCATTGACTAGTCTTCGAACAGGTAGAGCATATGTTTGATAAAAATGTGTGTAGAAGTTTGGCACTGTGAAAGAATTTAATTCTATAGTCGATTTGTTTATTTGATTTATAGTACAGAGTAGAGTAGTTGATATAGTACTATTAACCGGATGATGTTTCGAGCATAAATTATTACTCATAATCATATCAATGTAATCACAACTTTCGACATTTGGCTTGGTAAAAAGTCTAAGCAATGGAGTTCAAAATCTGATGTGCGAACAAGAAGATATAAGACAATCAATCAGTTATATTAAAGACATCCAACTCATCAATAATCACCCTCATTAGTTAATGAATAAATTAATTAGTAATTATATGAAACTCCTAAAGATGGGGAACCTAAGCCTTTGCGAGAACTGGTGAGGAATCATGCTCCACCATTGTACACCAAAAGCAAAATATTAAGCCGCATCATCATGGACAGACTAAAGGATGCGCTGCATTCAACATTACCACCGGAACAGGCTGACTTCAAAAATCATGTGCGGATCACATTGCAACACCACGCTACGCTATGCATCATCATTGAACAGAGTGTAGAATGGCAGTCATCTCAACTCTCTAACTCAATTTCATCGACTTTGAAAAGGCCTTCGATGGCAGCGTCCACCGACAGGTAATTCGCCAGGCAGTTGATTCAACAACACAGTTTCAGTGCCAAAAACCCTTGTCAATCTCATTCAACAGCCACTTTTTTTGACGACGCCACATGCCGAGTGATCCACAATGGAGAGCACAGTGACGCCTTCGAAGTGCAGGCAGCAAGGAGTAAGACAAGGCTACCACCTACTATCACCTGTGATCGTCCTGATTGTGGTCGACTGGATCATGCAGCTAACAGTGAGGAGTTGTGAGAAGATGGGCATATGCTGGCTGGACTGATGAAGAGACCATGGTAGAAGATTTATGTCTAATGTGTTGTGGCACAAATTCGAAGATGAACAGGCGAAAACTAACAAGTTGATGGGAGAGGCAGGGCAGCGAAAACGGGATTTCAGGTGAATGTAGAGAGGAGGGAGGTGATGGAGATACCACCCAACGAACAACAGCATCAACAATGAGAGGCACCAATCACCATGAATGGGGGAATTCTAGAGGAAGTAGTCTGTTTCACGTACCCACCCACCTATGCAGGGAGTATCGTTTCAATTACAGTTAGCAGCTGAGGCGCAGATGGTGATGTGAAAGCCAGCCGGAATCGGAAAGACAGCACGAGAGGTCATCCTTGATTAATGTGAAATCAGTGTGGAGATCTACTACACTGCACTCAGCATAAAGCGTGAATGAGATCCACATTTTCAACACGAATGTCAGTCAAGTGAGTCAGTGCTTCTACTTGATGATTGAGAGACTTGACACCTCACGAAAGGGATTTCCAACAAACTACACATATTCATCAACAACTACACCCTACGCTGACTCTCTATCGGAGCTCGGGTGGCCAGAATAATAAGAATAAGTAAGGAGGAAGTCTGAATGGCTGGCTGGCTGGCTGGTTACGAACCAACGCAACAAGAACCTATAGTGCAACAAATATGCAGTGGAAGGAAGTGGAGATGGATTGAGCATGCAGTGAGAAGACCATTCGGGGATATCACGGACCAGGTCAGGTAGTCGAGTGGGAAGCAGATTGGAAACGACGAGTTGGGTGTCTGAGTTGAGGGTGACATGGATGAGATGGTGTGAGGAATAGATGAAAGTTTGTGGGTAGTTGTGGTGCCAGGTTGAGTAGACTGCAGAGAGTTGAGTGTAATGCAGATGTGCTACTGAAGCCAGGGCACAAATAATAAATGTAATAATTCTGACATCAATGATTTTTCCAAAATCCAGTAAGTGAATTTGAGAGTGATCCCAGTTGAGACTTGTGATTGGGATATATTTTATTGCGGATATTATGTCAGATGTGAAAAGAACGAGTAACAAAAAAGGATTTTGCTTAGTTATTTCCTTTACTTGATTTATCCTTGATTGAATTATATCCTGTAAAGCATGAAACACGATCCATCTTCGTAAACCACAGAAGTCTTATTGATTGATACTTTTACTTTCACACTGACTAAGAAATTCAATGTTGTCTGGTCTCAAGTGCTCATCAGATTGCATCAGTCACTTTTTGCTGTAATCATCAAGCTATTATATTGATGAGCATGATGCACTTTGATTTCTGTTTGGCAGTTAAAAACAATCAACAGAACTCTGTCATCATTGAAGACTAGATAACACAAAACTCCTACGTCTCAAGGGACTAGCCAATGTAAGGATGTATCTGTTTCTACAATGTACTCCGTGCCCACCACCAACGTTTCATAGACTCCTTATCCACAGATGGTTACATCATACGAAATGGTTGCATGTGTTGACTATAACTTCGAACGTTACATAACTTGTATTAAACTGCAGTGATTCTTCGTATGTTTGTTTTTTCTTTGTCTATAGGTACGTTTATGGACATTACGTAATCAACAAAGATGTTTAAGAAATATACGAAAAGTCAATAAAATACACAAACATATTCAGTCAATGCTAGACATGACTTGGAAGCTGGATGGAACTAAATATTATCAAGAATTTCGTTTTCGTAAGATGAAAGATAACTTAAGGAATTCTTCTTGCAGAACCTCAGTTAGACGTAAGTCATTTTTCATGATAGTATACTCTGAAGAGAACTAGTTTTGTCGCATAATAATGATACTTTTTCTGCGATAATGAAACCTAATTTTCCTTTGATAAAGTTTAACAATCCAAGTTAGCTATTATCTGCCATGTTAGTCAGTACTAGGAGATTTTCTATGTGTCTAGTGGATGCTGTTTTATATAACTCAACTTGTTGCATGTTTATGCACCTGTTACGGAGATACACTAATTGTGTGAAGGATTATGATGTTACTTAACTGACTGCCGGCATCGTAAATGTGGAGTAGAGCCAACGCTTGAAGACTGAGTATCTAAGACAATAAACCATTATCTCTATGCGGACTATATGAAGACTTCTTGAATTAAAACAGAGTTTCTGATTTAGCTGTTTCATACTTACTAATTAGTGAGAAAAAAGAATGAATGGCTTTATCCATACACAGATAATTTGCATGGGTCATATCTCTCTTGAATTCATCAAATTTCTAAACACAATTGGGTGACTATAACAACAGTAAAGCATAAAAGTTGGCAGATAGTGGATAAGAAGAAGAGGCTGCTGACTTAATACATTTACTGTATCACCAGAAACCACATTAAACGAATTCCAGCAAAGCCTGTATAAAAAATTGTGGGAATAAATATATAGAGGTAAACCTTATTTTTCTGAACCCATACTAGATGAGCAATACATAAATTTATCCTTTTTGTAATGGTGAGTCTGTGTTTTTTAGACTCTGAAACGTTCAAGACATAATATCAAAGCTCACAGAATACCAAACAGTTATCGTCCTCATCTTGGGCTACAAAGCTTCTTCCAAATCTTTTGAATACCATATACTTCTCAGTACTTGGAAATGAGAGCAAATTCATCAGTTGGAGAACTTCATCTTGAGAGCTACTTTTCTTCCAACACAAATGTTTACTGGTGAACATCTTGGTATGAAGTGTTAGATACAGACTTCTAAAACAAGATATTCAGTGAAGAGGACTCTTTTCAACAAGTTTATTCTCAGGCTGTACATCCGTATATATATGATATTTAAAGACTACTCCATGGGGAAGATTTAGCTGAAATAATGGAGGGTTGAAACAATAATAATGATGGTGGTGATAATAATAATGTCGATGGTTAATGATGTAAGGGTCGAATGGTAACAAAAAGGGGTTACGTAAGACTGTCAAACCGTTTGTAAAGTGCATATGGATTAAAAGGGGGTGAGAACATTAATAAACAATCAAAGAATTAGGTAATACAAATGAGACAAGTTAATTGGAGTAAATTGAAAATGTTTTGTTAAAAGTTGCGATGATTAGGAAGATCAAATGAAATAACACCGGTAACAAATAAATACCAAAAACAGAGTGATAATGACGATATAAGAGCACAAAGATTGATCTGACAGAAAAGGAGAAGGGGGTGAAAAACGAAAAAAGAGGACAAAGCCCACCAAGACTAAAACAAATTAAAGCCAAGGTAGAGACAAAGACTGTACGTAATTCTTTTGCACACAAAGGTCAGGCTTCAGTTCATGGTATTCTAAGGCCTCCGCTGTTTTTAGAAGCTGAACACGGAGGAAACGTCAGGTGTTAGGGTAAATCCGATAGACAACCTTGAAATCCTCGTTTGGGTCGGCTTAATTATTATATAATTATCACCACCATCATTATTATTGTTTCAACCCCCATTATTTCAGTTAAATCCTCCCCATAGAGTAGTCTTTAAATATCATATATATACGAATGTACAGCTTGAGAATAAACTCTTTGAAAAGAGTCCTCCTCTTCACTGAATATCTTGTTTTTGATGTCACAATGAGAATAGTGAACGTATCCAGACTTCTGATCAACTGTCCTACTTAAAGAAGACTGTCTAATAAAGGGATAGAAAAAACGGTGACAATGATGATGCATACAACAGACTAATCAAATCCAACAAAGTAGTTACAACTCAACAACATATATTGGAACCAATCATTAGAAAAGATGTGATGTGCAAACTGACAGTAAACACCAATATAAAAAAGAAAAAAACAAAGGGGAAAAGAGAAGGCAGAAGTTGAATGATATACTGATCAGTCTAACACAATGAACAGAAAAGGAATTAAAAGATGAACGTGTAATGAATCTTTCATAACACCCACCATCTACAATTCACTTAAAAAAGGAATTGAACAGCAACAGCAGAAATGGGAATAAACAAGATTTCTATGTTTCTTTGGGGTCTGAATTGAAAACATTAGGAGGAAATTCTGAACAACAACGAAAACTATATCAATCAATTTGGCATCTAGTGAAAATCTAAGGAAATCAGCAACAACAACCAAACGCGAAAAAAGAAGTTTACTGAAATCCCCAACAATTGACAAGACAATTATGGTATCACCTTGATAGTTCCAGCTGACTGATTCGACACCGGATTAAACGCCCAACTTAAGGCCTATTCCTAACCGCCAACAATCTTCTGGTAATACCTAAGCATCCATGTAAGAACTTTCATGCCAACTGAGATCATTTTGGTCCAATCCAGTATAACAATAAGAAATTACAAGCATGAATCAATAAAAGTGGATCTCACGACTCAGTATCCTAGTTAATAATGCCCCGGTATTTGAGACGATAATTGCTGGCTTCCAATCTCAATAAGAATCATATCAATCACTGAGATGTGGATATATTTGGCTGATGAGTCCTAGACAGGATGAAATTCACCTGCTTCATTTCACTGATTGCCACTGACAATCAAATCAAGAAATCTGCTCAGCCAGCCTTATAAAATCATTGAATGATACAATCTCATGTTGTCTAATTCTGTCTGCTGACCGAATTCTATCGATCATAGCTGCAATGTGGCCACCAGGCTAGGGGACTGACTATCGTAGTTTACTGCGATGGATGTTATTTGGTTAGATGGAATCAATATGAAAATCTGGTTGACCTACATTTCATGCTTATTGCCTCCAACCAACTAACATCCATCAAAGTGCACCACGATAGTGACTCTCTTAGTTTGGTGACCACATTGTAAAATAATTGATAGAATTTGGTTTGCAAACAAGACTAGATAACATGAAGTTGATTCCTGTTCAATGACGAATCGATGTATCTGACTCAGTCCTACAGGAGGTGAATCACTGCCCAAACAGTTGCTGACTTCAACACTGAGTTATGCAGGCTCAAATCTCAAGTGGGACGTCATTTTCGTGGAGGTTGTAGATACGCCTTACTGACGAGTGCCAAAAAGTAAGAAGTTTATGTCGAGTAGGGGCTTTTGTGGATTTCCTTCAACTAGTAACCTTAACGGACTTCTCTTGTCAACCGTAACTATTGAATCATACATGACTGACGACTTCCTATTCCACTTTCTTATTTAGAATTAATAAGAAAAGGAAGCTGATTAGTCACTTTTGTAAAATAAATTAATTTGCATTTCAAAAGTAGTTCTTGGATACATATGCCTTTCCATAGTCAAAGAGAACGGAAATGACAAAGTGCTGAACTGAATCAGTGGTTATCTTTACAAGTGTTTACAAAACTGATGAGGAATAATGTTTATCTTCACGAGGGCGCAAGGAGTGTTGGGTTGGCTAAATGTTATTTGGTTGAAGGCAATAAGCAGAAAGTCCTGGGTCTAGGTTTTGTACTTGTCGCCACTCGTCAGTAAGCCTCATCTGAAATCTTGACGAAACTGATCACTTGCCCGAGATTCGAACCCACGTCACTTTGTTTTGCAGTCAGTAACATCACCACTGAGATATTTGGGCTGCGGCTGATCTCCTGCAGAACTAGGTTAGGTACACTGATTCGTCACCGAAGGGTAACCAATTTCATGCTGTCTGGTCCTATGTGCCGAATTCCATTGATCATTTTGTAATGTGCTATTTTATCGTGATGTACTTTGATAGATATTAACTGAATGGTGGAGGTCGACGGAAAACGCTGTTTGTCCGAGGTTTCATGCTTAGCACCTGTCAGGATGGTGTATCTATAAAGTCAATGAAAATTGACTTCCTCTCTGGGGTCAGAACCCGTGTCACCGAGTATTGTCGTCAGGGAAATTACAAATTGATCAACAGAATACGGTTACCCTTCAATAGCCAGTTAAATGTATCTAATCCAGTCCTAAAGAATGTCAAGAGCGGTTCAAGTAGCTCAGCGATGACGCCGCTAACTGTATTATATTATTTATTAGTCCCTTGGGTTCCTAGTGGAACATAGGGCTTCAGTAGCACGCCTCCAGTGACCTCTGTTCTCTGAGATCTTTTGAACCTGGTTCCACGACAGCCCAGAAGCTCTCATTTCCTCCTCGCATGACCTCCTCCATGTCACCCTCGGACGTCCAACTCGTCGCTTCCCATGGGGATTCCACTCGAGGGCCTGACGCGTGATGTCCTCAGTCGGCCTTCTCAGTGCATGGCCAATCCATCTCCACTTCCTCCTGCATATTTGTTGCGTGATAGCTTCTTGGTTGGTTCGTTCCCAGAGTTCCTTGTTGCTTATTTTTTCTGGCCATCTGATCTTCAGCAGCGAGCGTAAGCAGTTGTTGATGAATGTCTGTAGTTTATTGGAAATCCCTTTCGTGACGCGCCAAGTCTCTGAGCCATACAAGAGCACTGACTTGACGTTGGTGTTGAAAATCCGTATCTTGTTCCACATGCTGAGTGCAGAAGATCTCCACACTGGTTTCAGGCTAATGAATGCCTGTCTTGCTTTTCCGATTCTGACTTTGACGTCCTCGTCCGTCCCGCCTGTAGTTGAAACAGTGCTTCCTAGATAAGTGAAGGAGGTTACTTCCTTCAAGTTTCTCCCGTTGACGGTGATTGGAGTTTGTTGTTGTTGTTGATGGTGGTGGTGCGGTATCTTCATCACTTCTGTCTTCTCTATATTCACCTGAAGTCCCGTCTTGGCTGCCTCTTCTGTCAACTTGTTAGTTTTTGCCTGCAGATCTTCAAGTTTATGTGACATTAGGCATAAGTCATCGGCGAAATCCAAGTCTTCTAGGTTCTTTTCCGTCGTCCAGTGTATCCCCCTCTTCTCGCTGCCTACTGTTTGCTGCATGATCCAGTCCACCACAATAAGGAATATCATGGGGGATAGTAGGCAACCTTGTTTCACTCCTGTCTTCACTTCAAAGGCATCACTGAGCTTCCCATTGTGGATTACTTGGCATGTGGCATCTTCATATAGTTGTTGAATGAGGCGGATAAAGGTTTGCGGTACTCCGTAGTATTGAAGCAGTTTCCAAATTACTTCTCGGTCGACGCTGTCAAAGGCCTTCTCGAAGTCGATGAAGTTGAGGTAGAGAGCTGATTGCCATTCTACGCTCTGTTCTATGATGATACGAAGTGTTGCAATTTGGTCAGCACATGATTTGTACTTCCTGAAGCCTGCCTGTTCCGGTCGCAGTTTTGAATCCAGTGCGTCTTTAAGCCTCTCCAGGATGATGCGGCTTAATATTTTACTTGGGGTGGACAGGAGAGTGATTCCGCGCCAGTTCTTGCAAGCACTGAGGTCTCCCTTCTTCGGCAGTTTGACAAGGTAACCCTTCTTCCAATCGTCCGGTACCTTCTCTTCCTTCCACACCTTCTGCAATAGTGGTGTGAGCATGTCCGCTGTTGTCTCTGCATCTGTTCTCAGTGCTTCTGGTGGGATTCCATCTGGTCCTGCTGCTTTCCCGCATTTCAGTAGCTTTATGGCGTTCAGGACTTCCATTTTCGTTGGGGGATTTATGTTCACTTGTAATTCAGCGGCTGCAGGTGGTATTTCTGGACGAAGTGCAGGTGGTGGTCGATTCAAGAGCTTCTTGAAGTGGTCGGCCCATCGTTTCCTCTGTTTCTCTTCTTTTGTAATTAAATTTCCTTCTTCATCTTTTATTGGTTTCATCTGTGTTGGTCTCTTCCCTGATAGCAACCTGGTTATTTGATACAATGTCGTCAGGTCTCTCTTACCTGCAGCCTGTTCTGCTTCACTTGCCAGTGTTTCGTAGAAGTGTCTTTTGTCTTTGCGTGCACTCTTCTTCACTTCTTTGTCCAGTGTTTTATACATTGTGCTCAGTTCCTCTTGTCGTTGAGCATCCTTGCACTGGTTTATCTTCTGCTTCACCATCCTCCTCTCCTCTATCAGCTTCCAGGTATCCGTCGAGATCCATTCCTTGTCTTCTTTCTTCTTCCTTCCTAATACTGTTGTGCAGGTTTCTTTCCACATAGCTTTCAAAGACTTCCAGTGTTCTTCCACACAGGTTTCTTCAGGGATGTTGCTCGATGTCTCCCATTTTGTCTTGATGGCTGCTTTGAAGATCTCCTTTGTAGTTTCATCCTTCAGTTTCCTAGTGTTGTACTTGAATTGAGGTCTATCACCAGCTTCCTTGAAGGCTTTTAACTTGATTTGGAAGGTTCCTTGCACTAGATAGTGGTCTGAACCTACATCTGCTCCTCTTCTTGACCTTGTGTTAAGTAGACTGCGTCTCCATTTTCTTGAGATTGAGATAAAGTCGATTTGATTTTTAGTGTGTCCATCTGGTGAAGTCCATGTCGCTTTGTGGATATCCTTGTGCCTGAACACACTGCCTCCAATCACCAAATCGTTGAATGCACAGAATTCTGCAAACAATTCTCCATTCTCATTCATTTCACCTAGCGCCTCTCGACCCATGGTTAGTTCTCTTCCTGTGTTGTCACCTCCCAGTTTGGCATTCATGTCGCCCATTAGAATTTTGATATCGCCAACTGACGTCTTGTCCAGTGTTGATTGAAGTTGTCTGTAGAATTCCTCCTTTTTCTCTTGCTCTGCATTATTTGTAGGTGCATAACATTGTATGATTGTGACCTTTCTTCCTTTTGAGTTGAATCTTGCTGTCATGATCCTGGAGGAGATTGGTTCCCACTGCATGAGAGCCTTCGATGCTCTTGAGGACATCATGATAGCCACTCCCTCAGTGTGCTCGTGGTTGGCGTCTGGGTGACCGGAGTAGATTATTGATTCTCCAGTTGACAGTTTGGAGAGTCCACTCCCATTCCATCTGCTTTCGCAAATCCCAAGCACTTCTATGTTATACCTTCTCATCTCCTTTGCAATCTGGGCTGCCTTACTGGGTTCAAACATCGTACGGACATTCCATGTCCCCACGTTTACTTTCGCTTTCATCGAGAGAAGACACATCGGCCAATTGGCTTCCCGAAGGCTTTCACCAACTGGCGTCATTTCGCCTCTCCGATTCCAGCGGGGAATAAGTTTGTTTTCATTTTTTATATTTTGTTTGTGCTTTGAAGTTTCTTTAGCGGTTAGATTTGTTTTACGGGGTAGGGTTGCTAGCCCTATGCCCAACCTTCCCTCTTTACCCGGGCTTAGGACCGGCTAGTAACTAGTAAACTAGTTAACCAGGCGAGGTTGCCGCTAACTGTAGCACTAGTCAATGTAGGTTTGAACCTCAGGTAGGACGTCAGTTCTGTGGAGGTTGCAGATTCGTCTCGTTGACGAGTGCCAACGAGCAGGAAACCTAGGTCCATGGGTTCCTGTCGATTAGGTCGATTCAACTAGCATTTAGCGAATTCATCACTCCTTGTGAGTTTACAAATGTACGATTATTGTTCAACAGTTTTGCAAACACTTGTGAAGATTAACTTTGATTCAGTTCTATCTTTTTAGCAGTATTCATCAGGGAGTGATCTCAGTTGGAGTACCATTGAAAACCTACTGAAGAATCTTATACTAGAATGAAACAGCTGTCCAATTCTCCTAAGTTTCCAACAGTTCTCCGATTGATTTTAGTCCATGATGAAACCAATATTAAAAATAAAATCCTCATAAACCTCAAACTCGTTTTATTATTCAGTCTTCTACAATCAACACTAATAATAATCGTAATATGGATTTGACCTTATAAAATCTGCTGCCATTTTATCCACGCTTGAAATTGTCTCCTTTTCTTCTTTCAAATATGCTTAAAATTGTTATTTGTCATATCAAATTGTCACAGTAAGCACTTGAACACAGTGGGAAATCTGTCTTTTTGTCAACATAAACAGTTGTAAACTTAAGAAGGAAATTACATAGGTTTTTACTAGCTCGACAATAACTTTATACCTTTCCTTGTTTACCTAATGTTTACACTGTGGTTGGTAAAAACGAATAACTTTCAATATTTTTTTCACATCAAAAAGCTGTTTAGCGAAATATAATCACTAAGCTAAGATGTTGTCTCTTCAAAAGTATGTGTCAGAGCTTCGCTAGTCTACATTGGGTTCAACCATCCAATTACCTACCTATCTACCTACCTACCTGCCTACCTACCTGCCTACCTACCTACCTACCTACCTACCTACCTACCTACCTACCTACACACAAATTGTCGGGATATGTATTTTGAGAAGAATGCTTAGAAGTTGACAGACGTTTTGACTTTTTATTAACCATTTGCATTTGATAATGAGTTATGACTGAAGGTGAAATGAAAACTTACATGCCAACAGAATTTAAACTACAGACCTTAGAAATACTGACACGTTACTGTATCAGAGGAGATAGTATATATAATTAGTGACCAGATAGTCCCTTCACTTTGATTATTAAAGGTTATACTTGACTGTCCTATAGCTGAATGATGCGTAAATCACAGTTCCGTGTTAAGCCACACTATTTGCCCATCCAGGAGGACTTTTTATTGATTATTATTCAGATTGCTTTAGGGACCTGTAGTTTTATGAACTGATGTTACTTATATTGAGTGTTAACTAAAGAAAGAAATGAAGAACTGAACTGCCTCTATCAAAGAGATGAATCTTAAAGTTTAGTTCAAGTAGCATTCAACAGCAGGTATAGGTGAATAATTGGATATGTAGTAAGATAAGATACATCTATCGAGTTTTCACCTCTCTGTCACATAACTCTATTGGTCTCTATTTGTTACATACATGAAAAGGACCTGATTTTGTTGAGACAATGGCTAGATCATACTAAATCATCAAGCCTTCATCTTTATAGATCAGGCAGTCCATTTACATCTTTTCTTTCATCATCATAATCTTTGGAACACTCGATCTCTTCTGCTCATATTAATGGTATGAGCCTTGCTTAGATTAGTGATTGTATTGTGTCGTCAGTTAGCGTTACCTGAATGAATATCAGAATCTTCAGTTAATCTGTAAGGCTACAATTATAAAAATACGACAGGAATATTTGCCAGCCATATTTAGTGGTAAAACAATCACCTTTTTCTCATTACCTATTTATTACTTTGTAAAGGGTGATCTGTAATTTATGTATAATGACACATCTAGAAATTTCGCAGCCTGAAAGTCTTTCACCGAAAAAATTGGTTGACGAAAAAACACATAACATTTATTCTTAGCAATCGTTGACAATAACCTAACATAACACAAAGTGTGTCTCAGTGACCAGTGTCCTAACTTAGCAATAACTATCAGTGGTATCCACCAATATCATTCACTGGGACTATTCTTGTTTAACTCTGTTATTGACATCTCTATGTACTTAATCCTTGGTAACTCTCAATTCTCAGGAACCGACCTGTTCCCTGAAGAGTATCAGTATGACTTAGAGTTCTCAGACAACATTATCTTGGTAAGCGAAAACGTTGACAATACACAGGCTGATTAGAACACCTTACGCGGAAATCTGAGTATGTTTGTATCTGTCAAATATGAGGTGGTGATTTGCGCGAACTGACTATAAGTATAATGATAGGGAATGAAGTGGTGGAATGTGCCGACCACTTCACTTATTTTGGAAGCTGCCTCAGCGCCAACAGCCTGGTCACTGGCTGATGAAATCTCACAGAAAGCACGTTTGACATTCACCAAGTTGCTTCATCTCTATTGCCGACTGGCAATATATCCAACTACCTGTTTACTAACCAGTATACTGCGCTACAGTTTTTTCTATCCTGTTATGCGTCTGTGAGACGTAGCTGTTAAAAGGAGAATATATATGGCGACTACATGTTTGTGTTCAGAAGTGTGTTCTCAACACTAGTTACTCATGGTGAGAAAATTGATTAGGACAGATGTAAGATATTCAACAAGCAAGATGGTTTGGACATGTGTTTTGCATGTTAAGCCGCCACCTACATCAGCGTGCAATCTTAGTTGGAGTAAGACTGGTTTCGAAGAATGATAAAAGAGGTCAGACTTAAACGTGGTATCAGTTCATAAAGTCCTCTGGTGTTGATCTGGACCATGCTGGGAAGCGGAAACTGCCAGGTTGGTATTTTTGAGAAGACTGGAATCAATGGTTGAAGACACTTGGTGAAATGGCTGAAAATCGGTTACAGTAGCGTACATGCACACATTCTTTGTCATTTTTATAATCTTGAGTATTTTCCTAACTATTCCAACATCTTATGCACATTCACATATCTTAGTATTGCCTTTATGTATTCACCTCTTCTTTGCATACTACTGTGAAATATGACAACTTGAAGCAATACACTTCTGTGCAAAGTTATATGTTAATTTTTGTATCTCTCTGTCCGGCGTGATTGATACGCTTTAGCCGAAATTCTTGATGATATAAAACATCTGGTTAATATTATTTCAGTATGCATATAAGGTCTATAATAATGCGACCTAGCAACTATATGCAGCATTGTGCTTCAAAAAATAAGCAAAATCTCTTGTGTGGGGGCTTATTCTACCCAATAACTGCTAAAATTTTGATACATGGGTTGACATTGAAGTCTTGAGTCATATAGTTGCACAAAACGTTGATTTTCGAAGTAATTGGACACTATTCTACAGAAACGAAAAAATGTTGGGATCAATGACCGTGAAATCAATCGTTTTCTGATCATTCGAATGAGCTAGTGATCTCACTGTAAAAGAAAATGTCCACTTCTCAGTTGTATTGATATTATTATTATTTGTCCCTTGGGTTCCTTATGGAAAATACAGCTTCACTAGCACATCTCCATTCCACTCTCTTCTCAACAATCTTTTGAACCTGGTTCCACGACAGTCCACAAGCTCGCATTGCTTCTCACACCACCTACTCCATATCACCCTCGCCTCGTAAACCCAACTCGTCGTTTCCCATCTGTGTTCCACTCGACGGCCTGGCCTGGCGCGTGATGTCTCCAGTCAGCCTCCTCAGTGTATGCCCAATCCATCTCCACTTCCTTCCATCGCATATTTGTTGAGGGATAGGTTCTTGGTTGGTTCGTTGCCAGCCAGCCAGCCAGTCAGAGTTCCTTGTTGCTTATTCTTACTGATCTGACCGTCTGAACTTCAGTAACGAGGCAGCTTGAGTGGTAGTTGTTGATGAATGTCTGTAGTTTGTTTGGAATCCCTTTCGTAATGTGCCAAGTTTCTGAACCATACAGAAGCAGTGACTTGACTTTGGTGTTGAAAATCCGGATCTTAATCCACATGCTGAGTGCGGAAGATCTGCACACTGGTTTCAGGTTAATGAACACCTGTCTTGCTTTTCCGATTGTGACTTTGACATCCTCGTCTGTGCCACCTGTAGTTGAAACAGTGTTGCCTACATAGGTGAAGGAGGCTCCTTCCTTTAGGTTTCCCCGTTGATTGTGATTGCATTGATACACTGACTAGATTCTTAAAATTATGACTGGATGAATACAATATCTGAAAGAAAATCTTATCAGGTTTCATCATTGACTGAACTGAAATGATCGCTTACTACTCGCATATCGGTTTCTGTGCGGATGAGTCGATATTACCAGTAATTTTAACCTTGCTGAATCAAACTGATGAATCTCAAATAAATCGAAACACGTGTTATGGATTCCACTGCTAGCCAATATTCACCATCAATATCAAAAAATAAAGATATAGAGCCTATATGCCAGTAGTGGCCCATCAAGTTGATCCAATCATTCATGTAGATTCACAAGCTTTACCATCACAACTATATGATGCCTATGCTAAAAGGAGTTTCTACCATGATTAGGCGGCCTAGTAGATAACTCTCCGACATTTGAATCCACCGGTCCTGGGTTCAAGTCTTAGCGGGAACAGCCGCACTCATTAGGAGGCAAGTACATCCATCTAATGACTCCTAAACAAGACAAGCGTGAGTCCTTGATTCCCTTACTCACCACTATCCATCATCAATAGTCACTGGTATGTTTACCACTTTTATCTAGGAAATTAAACATCAATCGAATCATCTTCACTCGCTTTTTTAAGAAAATATGTTAGAAATATGTATTGATTGGTCACGAGAGAGTAACTAATTTCATATTGCCTAGTCCTGAGTGAACATCGAATCCTGTCGATCATATTTACAATGTGGTCACCAAGCTAGGAGGCTCAGCATCGTGGTACACATCGGTAGATGCTAGTTGGTTGGCGGCAATTGGCAGGAAGCTGTGGAACTAGATTTCATGCTTATTGGCACTCGTGAGGAAAGCGTACCTGCAGCCTCGATGGAATTCACGTGTCGTCTGGTCGATAGGATTCGGTCTTCAGTCAGGACTAGACAGCATGAAATTGGTTGCTCTATCGTGACCAATGATATACATTTCTAATAAAGTCACTGACCGTGACACTGGGTGACGCGGGTTCAATCTCAAGCGGGACATCAGTTCTGTCGAGGTTCCAGATATGCTTCGCTGACGACCGCCAACAAGCAGAAAACCTAGGTCCAGGGCTCCTCGCCGATTCCCCCCAATCAACTCACATCGACATTTTTATCAATTATATATTTTACTTCTATATTCCTTCCTTGAGCTCCTAATGGAACACGAGGCTTCAGTAGCACATCATCACCTCACTCTCTTCTCTACATTCCACTCAACCTTGCTCCACCACTGCCCAGAAGGTTTCATTTCTTTCTCACACCATCTCCTCCATGTCATCCTCCGACGCCCAACTCGTCCTTTCCCATTTCGGTTCGAGGGCCTGACCTGGCGTATGATGTCCCCAGATGGTCTTCACAGTGTACACACAATCCATCTGCACTTTATTCTGAATATTTTCTTGACGATGCGTTCTAGGTTGGTTCGTTGCTAGGCCAGAGTTCCTTGTTGCTCTTTCTTCCTGGCCTTCTGATCTTCAGTATCGAGTAAGCGTAGTCAGCTGCTGTCCATGTATGTCAGCAGTTTGTTGGAAATGCTTTTCCTAAGGCGCCAAGTCTCTCAACCATCACATGGAAGCAATGACTTGGCTGAATGAGTGTTGAAAATCCGGATCTTGTTGTTTATGCTGAGTACAGTACAGTGCAGTGAAGTAGATCTTCAGACTGATCTCCACAGATCATTCAAGGTCTGTCTTGCTGTCTTTCCGATACTGGCTTTGACGTCCTCATCTGTTCCACAGTCTGTGGTTGAAACGATGCTACCTAGGTAGGTAGGTAGGTGAAAGAGACAACTTCCTTTAGGTTTCTCCCATTTGGTGGTGATTGGTGCTTGTTGTCATTATCGTTGTCACTGTTAGTTGGTTATCGTCATCACCTCTGTCGTCTCTACGGTCACCTGAAGGAAATGCCGTCTTTGCTGCTCTGCCTCTTTTGCCAACTTGTTAGTTGTCGCCTGTAGGTCTTCGAGTTTGTGCGACGTTAGACGTTAGACATTAGACATAAATCATCATGGGCGAAATCCAAATCTTCTGAGGTCTTTTCGTCAGTCAAACAGCGTATGCCCATCTTCTCGCTCATCACAGTCTCTTGAATGATCCAGTCGAATCCAGTTAACCACAATGAGGAGGATGATAGGTGACTGTAGGCAACCACGTCTTACCTATCTACCTATCTTCACTTGAAAAGCATCACTGAGCTTTCCATTGTGAATCACTTCCCATGTAGCATCATATAGCAATTAGCTGCTGTTGAATGAGGTTGATGAAGGTTTGTGGGACTATGTAAAGTGTTAAAGTAGTTTCGAAATCCCTTCTCGGTCGACGCTATCAAAGGCCTTTTCAAAGTGAATGAAGTTGAGATACAGAGTTGAATTGACTGCCATTCTGTGCTCTGTTCTGTGATAATGCATCGAAATTAAAAATTACATTCTTCTGTATAATAATTCGTTCTAGGTTATAAACATTACTTTGGAAAACGAATCTTTCCTGAACAATCTTCAACATGTCATCAACGAAGTACAAAGAATTTGTCTCAGATGAACACAAGATCAGTTTTCTCTGAATCTGATGCTGCTGTTTCATTGGAGAATTTCAAGTAAGTTTAACGATGTTACTCCTTTTTTATATTTATTTGGATCTTTTATTGTTGTTTATCTGTTGTTTTATTGTGTTTGCAGTAACAGACCAGTTTGATTACACTAAAGTGGATATATGATGAGGTCACTGAAAGTATCTTCAAGTGGTCAAAGACATATCAACCAATGAAGTCTGTCTAACTAATTCAGACTCTGTGTTGTTAGTCACGTATGAATGTTTTACATTTAAAAGTACACCAGCCAAATATCCTTCAGCTAAAAAACTGAGAGAACTATAAGCGAAGGTAGAGAACCAACGAATCGACAACAAGTAAATTATCTTTAACAAAACTCAAATATCAGTGTTATTGCTTGTATTACACCGTTGTTGATAGGACCGAATTGATCAGCCTCTGTTGGCATATGGGCTCCTGTGCGCATCCTGGATTCCACTGCTAGCCACTGCTCATCATTACTAAACATAGTTAAAAGACGGGCTATATCGAGGCATCCGCATAGGAGCCTATACGCCGACAGAGGCTGATCAATTCGGTCCTATCAACGACGGTGTAAAACAAGCAATAACACTAAAACCTATACCCGTTGCACAAGAAGTGGCTATCGTGGCTCGGTGGTGTAGTGGATAACGCCCTGGCGTTTGAAGCGATCGCCCCCGAGTCCGAGTCCCGGTGGGACCAACATCACTCACTGGGAAGCAGGTACATCCAGCTGACGAGTCCCAAATAGGACGAAATGCGCATCCTGGATTCCACTGCTAGCCACTGCCCGTCATTACTAAAACTCAAATATTCTTTCTGACAACAAGATCTGGGATATATGTTCGCGATTTTTACTACAACCTTCTTGAATAACTGATGCCCCACTGTTTGCGAGAAATTAAAGTTTATCACGTTACTCTGAAGTATGAGTGATTCATCATATCTAGAAAGGAGTCATCTAGAAGAGTTTAATAAAGCTTAATAATGGTATAAAACACACAAAAAATTACCTGAGGTGTCATAAAGAACCTCGAAACTTTTGGCAAATGTTTTGTTCCTCCTTGGAACTATTCAGCACTGCTCATCAGCGAACCCATGAAGCATTAACCGTAGAACTGTCACAGCGTGTAACAGACACTTTACCATTCCATTTTTATTGCACTACCATCATCTACTGATGCCACTGAGTATTCGTTTACATGCCTAAATCAGATAACTCCGTAGGTGACGATTTCTTATTGTAACTTCGCGAATAGTATCCCTACGCAAGTCACCAGTCAGTGGAGATCAGGAACTCAATTAGCGACTGATTGTTTTCAAAGTAGTTTTCACCAAAGTAACATTACCTGAAGATCGCTAATATAATCATAGTTGTTCCCTACTAAAGTATCTGAAAGTGAAACGAAACGGCTGTTTAATCTTCCTAGGGATTTGTTGATTGCTCAGTGTATTGAAAACTACTCTGTTGGTTTCTATACGTATACTACTCGTCAGTAGCAGGAAAAGTGTATGTTTATAGATCTGCCATGTGAACTGAAAACCTTACAAATACAACATGAAATGACAGTTAGAGCTAACTGTATATAGAAGAGGTGGTTATCATAAATAATGCTTAGCTGAATGGATATTGCATTCAAGTCTGAGTGAGAGAACTACCCGTCAATAGTCTTCTGGTGCACTTCCTAACAAGCCCTAAGAAGGATGGAACTTGTATCCAAATTCTACTAATAACTACTGCCGCATATAATCAAAATCTAATCAATGACGATATCGACGCATCCTTGTGAGAAGCTTTCAACTAACTGGAGTTGATCAAATTGATCATGTTATATTACACCCAGAGAATGGTCTAATCTACATCTGTGAAATGAAGCCTTATTGGTCAGAGGATAATAAATAACCGTAATTCTGAAGATGTCTGTTTTGGTAGGATTAAGAGGACTCTTTGAAAACGTCATGTATGTTATTATGATATCCAAATTCAGTTGTCTAAGAGTGACTAAAATCTGTGTTTGGTAGATGGAGTCACCTGAGCACACTGGATTTACCGCTTGGATACATTTTATCTAAGTCACATACTTTCATACACATTACTACTCTTACGGTAATTTAACTGGCTGCAAGCAGAGATATTCCTATTTTGTTCCATGGCTTATTCGATGTAAGACAATATGCATAGGTTGGTGTACCCTGACTTCTTGAAAGGGTTCTGAAATATTGGATACCAAATTGAAGTGGATGAATATCTTAAGGTGCCTCAATTCAGTTCTATAAATTGGGGTATTATAGCCAAGTTACTGTAAGCATATCAGGAGTTGTATTCTCAACGTAATAATTGTCCAAAACGCATTCACGCTTCAAGACATTGGTGCCCGTAGGTTCTATATAGTTTGGATAGATACTGCTCAGCACATAACCCGTACTTAGTACTCCGTGCATCGTTTCCTTCTTCCACTTTTGTGATGATACAGCCAAATGGAGGAGATAAAATAGAATAACTTGGAATAAGTTACGAACATACAACAAGAGGAAAATATTTAGTAGGGTAGAGAGAATCGTATCCATTTCGGGCTATTTCATATTATTTGAAGCATCATATGTCAGCTAAGAAATTTCACTCAAGAAAAACTGATTACAGTATTGCGTAAACATGTTTGTAATTCGTAATTTATTGCATTTAATGCGGATATGTTTACAGATACTTGTAATTTCTCGTGTCTATACTAGGTTGAATTAGTCGACCTCTGTTGACAAATGAGCTCCTATACAGATGCTTTGGCATTGTCTGAATATTTATTGAGTTAGAGTTTGCATGGTAGCTACCAGCGGAATCTTAGGACTGCGTTCCGTCCTATTTGTGACACATTACCTGGATGTGTCTGCATCCAAGTGAGTGATGGTGTTCCTGCTGAAAATCGAGGCATATGCATAGACCCCTATCTGCAACAGAGGTTGAGCAATTCAACCCAGACTCGCAACGAACCTCGGTGGCCTGTTGGATAACGCTGTGATGTTTGATGCGATGGTGGTTGGCTTGAGTCTCAAAAGGCACACTTTCGCTCACTGTAAGGCAGGTACATCTAGTTAGTTAGTCTTATACAGGTCGAAATGCACAGACTGGATTCTGCTAATAGTCATCAACATAATCAGAACATTCTATATGGAGGTTTATGGAGGCTTTGATTTTAGGTTGGAATTCGTCATAGACTAACATCAATTGGAAACCTGGGAGCAGTGGACAACTGTTTCGTCCCATCATGTGGTTCTTCAGCAGTACCCACCCATAACCCTGCCTCATTAAGCATCATACCCAGCACCTTTAGGTTCCGTGGCCAGCACGTTACCATTGAGCTAGCCACTAAGTTAGACTCCATTGGTCCATATTTCCTACTTCTGTCAGTTCACGATACGGCGTGACCTAGGTTCAACTGATACACCTTCACTAACCTCCAGTAAGAATTAAACTAGTGCTCACTGGTGACCAGGTTTGGGAGGTGATTCCTGAAGTTCCAATGACAAGTCGTGACTAGTGGAGTCAACCAAGTCGAACATTGGGACAGTTACTCAACAATGGTATTGGATGGAAGTTGCGCTATGTTGTGAACCGATAGAAGTAGGAATTATGGACCATTCGATTCCGACCCAGTGGCTCAAGTGCAACTTGTTGGCTACGGAACCTAAAGCCCTGGGTTCGATCCCTCGTGCGGTCGTGGGTGTGCACTGCAGAGTCCTATGCTAAGACGTAATAGGTGGCTGTTTAGTGCTCTCAGGTTCTCAATGTTCCTCTAACTGATGTCATTCCGTGATGAATTCCGACTTATAATCAGAATATGCTAGAGGAATTCAAATAAGATTTTTTTCGAATTATTCTCCTTGCGTACAATGGTCTCATAAACTATGTTGAGTATTTAAAAGTCTTCAGCATTTCCTCATATTGGTTACCTAGATTCAAGATGAAGTGAATCATTATTTTATCCAAGTTTTAAGAAGTTATACCCATATGCATATTTGAAAATAGTCAGAATAGTGGTGCTTTATTTCACGTCAAATAAAGTATGGAAATGTTGAATACACGTCTCGGATTTCACGAAGTTATATCATCAGTGCTCATCATGAAACGTAGATAGCTTGTGTAATAATTTATTGATTATTACTTCATGCAAAATGCAAACTGTAACATGACGAGATCTTTCCTTCGCAATTATTTAGTAGTGTATAAGGAATACCTCTGGAAACCCATGTTTCAGAGGACCGAATGGCACTAAAGACTTCGTCTGTTGTCACTTACGCGACAGGAAACATTGGGCTTACATAGTAAATGCCCCCAAAATTATCAGTCAACAGGGGTTTTCTCTAACTTTGCTTCGGTTCATAGAAGTCATTTCCTGGGTTGGATCACCGATGGGGTTATGGATACCTACTGCTCAGGAATTCTATACCGGGATGAAGCAGTCTTCTACTGCTTCCAAAAGTGGGGTTTAGTAATGGTTACAACTTTTTGATTCTTAATCGCTTTCATTCCTTAGCTATTTAATCACTTACTAACGTATTTGACTGATTAGTGAACAAGATTCTCAACAGTTCTGGGATCAGAATGACATTTAAACCCACACAGTCACAAGGAAAACAACTCTCTAGATTAATAATTCCGATAAAGGTCATTGAACAAAGTAACGTAGCTTGCTGAATTCCAAGCAGCAACTATGAGGTCAAGTACATAAGTCTTTGGTCGGCGTGAATTACTATAACAGAGAGGAAGATCTTGACCAAGTCTAAAATGGTTGATCTTAGTAATGGTAAGAAGGCTTACCCATAACCATGCATTCACTTTCATATAACTATCCAATAGGATTAGATAAAGTAACAGTTCTGAAAACTAAATTATCAGGGTAAAAGGAGAGATTGATTACAAAAGCTCTGTTAATAGAATAAACATCGAACACATGGAGATATGTGGGAAGTTCTACCACGCAAACAGCAAGTTAAGGTGAGCAATAAAACTAATTCAGCGGAGTGTGAAGGATATAGAATTCCCTCTGCAATGTATCTGAGCAAGATATCTTGTTTTAAATGTCATCCACTTCAACAGCACCCTTTCACTGTGTGAAATACCCAACAAACAAATTATTATGGAATTATTTCAAGTTGTTATTCATCGTAGACTGACATCAGTTGGAGGAACAAAGGAAATCTGGGAGCACTGGACAGCTGTTTCGTCCGTCTAGTATGGGGCTCCTCAGTAGTGCGCATCCACGACCCTGACAGGGGTCGAACCCGTGACCTTCAGGTTTCGTGGCAAACACGTTGCCATTGAGCCACAGGGCCACCTTCCAATGGTCCATATTTCCAACTTCTGTTAGCTCACGATATAGCGAAACTTGAAATATTTCCAAATCCCCACAACTCCCTCGAAATTCAATTGAACTGGTGCTCATTGGTGACTAGCTTCGAGAGGTATTCCCGAAGTTCCAATGAGAAGTCGTGACGGGCGGGCAAAGACTGATGGTCGTGAGGACAGTTAATCAACGATGACATTGGGTGGCGGTTGCGCTATATCGTGAGCTAACAGAAGTTGGAAATATGGACCGCTTGATTCCTACCCAGTGGCTTGAGGGCGACTTGCTGGCCACGGAACCTGAAGGTCACGGGTTCGACCCCTGGCGGGGTCGTGGGTGCGCACTGCTGAGAAGCCCCATACTAGACGGACGAAACAGCTGTCCAGTGCTCCCAGATTTCCTTTGTTCCTCCAACTGATGTCAGTCTACGATGAATAACAACTTGGAATATTTCCGAATCTCCACAACTCCCTCAAAATTTAATATGGAATTGTATAGTGTGCAACTTCCAATCTATTTCTTAAAATATAATAAGAAGTTTCACCATAATTTCTTACAAAAACCAAAATGTTCAAATAAAAAAGTGTAAACTCCTCGACACCACGATTGACGTCAAGACGATAATAAAAAGTCTACGCAATATACTACTGACTAACATGAGTAGCGCTTGGTAACCAGTTAGAAATAATTTAAACAACTGACGGTCATTTTACTGGTTTGGTGTCTTGATACAGCTTGAGAGAACTATTGATCAGTGTGAGTATTCTAGACATAGTCATGTCAGTCAGTAGTATATTCCGTAGAGTTTTAATGTAACTTTTCTGTGCCAACATCACACTTCAGTAGAATTTAATTTTTAAATAGGCTTATGTTCCTTTTTCGTCTCTCTAATTTACTAGCAATAAGCCTTTTGATCATCTGAAGAGAATGTGATGAAATCTATAGTATACTACGGGATTTGTTCATACAACTCTGTTCAAATTTGTAAAACGAACCGAATGTGTCAAGTTATCATAATTTTGATTGATTCTCTTAGTAACATAAACTAAAGATAAAGTTAAGGAGAAAAACTTTAGGTTCTTCGAGTTAATTTGATTTTTATTCATGCTTATTACGCTAACCGTTGGGCGTCTGACAGTGACATGGAGGAGATGGTGTGAAGAAGAAATGAAAGCTACTGGGCAGTCGTGGAGTCAGGTTTAAAAGACTGAAGGGAAGACAGTGAAATGGAAACGTGCTACTGAAGCACTAAATTCCACTAGGAACCCAAGGGACAAATAATGTAACAATAATTATATTACGCTAACCATTGCCTAAAGCCAGGTTCGGAATAGCAAGACAGGTGTTCATTAATCTGAAACCAGTGTGCAGATCTTCTGCACTTCAGTCAGCATAAAGCCTGAACAAGATCCGGATTTTCAACACCAAAGTCAAGTCACTGCTTCTGTATGGTTCAGAAACTTGGCGCATTACGAAAAGCATTTCCAATAAACTACAGAAACTCATCAACAACTACCACTCAAGCTGCCTCGTTACTGAAGCTCAGATGGTTAGATCAGTAAGAATAAGCAACAAGGAACTCTGACTGGCTGGCTGGCTGGCAACGAACCAACCAAGAACCTATCCCTCAACAAATATGCGATGGAAGGAAGTGGAGATGGATTGGGCATACACTGAGGAGGCTGACTGGAGACATCACGCGCCAGGCCAGGCCGTCGAGTGGAACACAGATGGGAAATGACGAGTTGGGTTTACGAGGCGAGGGTGATATGGAGTAGGTGGTGTGAGAAGAAATGCGAGCTTGTGGACTGTCGTGGAACCAGGTTCAAAAGATTGTTGAGAAGAGAGTGGAATGGAGATGTGCTAGTGAAGCTGTATTTTCCATAAGGAACCCAAGGGATAAATAAATAAACAAATAAATAAATAAGACTATTGCCTAACATTCATAACATAATAAATGCTGAAATTCTACACACTAACTGGAGAATATTGTTCAGAACTAGCGAGGATGGGCTTTTTTTCAAGTCTATCGTTTGAAAATTTCCATTACTACAAGTCTTTAACTAGTGCCTTACTAGTTCTTTCTAGCCAATCTGCCTGGATGTTATTTGTTGGTTGTAAACAGGTTAGGTATGCTGTGGCTTTGAATATGACACTGATCATTTTACATACTTTACTGAAATACTTCTATCGTTTTTTCTGTATAAAAATTAGTTCACCAAATTATCGTGGTTCCCTTAATCGAAGAACAAAAAATCAAATGAAGCAAATCATTTCAGGTAAGAAACTTCTGATTGTTTATTTTTGGCTAAAGATGGGTCACTTATTGCTTTCTACTTACTGCACCGCTTTGGGTGACAAAACAATGTTGCTGTTACTTGAATGGAGGTAATAGGCAGAAAATCTTGCTTAACCCAGGCTTCACGCATTTGGCAGTGGTCAATAAGACGTATCTGCTACCTCAAGGGAATTGATGTCCCCTGTGAAATTAGAATCCACGTCATCCAGTGCTACATTCAGCAACGTTACTATTGAAGTATTCAGACCGCAACTGACTTCCTGTTGGACTGGATTAGGTACATTGATTGGTCATTGGAGTAGAGTATCTAGTAGACACCCAATATTATCAGATGACTGAATTAAGTGAGTTGATTTTCTACTGCAGCTGTTGATACAGTTCACTATGGATTAGTATAAGAGGAGAGAGTGAGTAATTTATTAGTGTGAGCTAAATATACGACAACATCAACTAAAATTTCATATCCTATGACTACAATTTGTATTGAATATTATTGATAGACAGTGGATAGCAGAGGAATATAGCCTGAAGTGCGTTTTGTGCTATTCTGCACTCGTCAGCTAAATGTGTCTGATTCCCAGCTAGCAATGTTCTTCTCCCTAAGTTGTCAGCTCTGGACAGATCATTTCAAACAACAAAGAGTTATCCACTAGACTACTGAATAAAAATAGCCAATTCTAGTCCGTTATTGCTCGTATTAACTCTTCTCTGAGTGGATCAAATCTATTGGTTTCGGTTTGGTGAATAACGCTCTGGTGTTTAAACTGATCATTCCAGAGTAAGAAGAACAATGCTCACTGGGAAGCAGGCTGACTAGTAAGTCCTAAACAGGACGAAAATTGCATCAATCTGGATTACACTGTTACTCATTATCTATCATTAATATATCATTCAAACGGAGGCAATATCTAGCCATACACACAGGAGTCGAAATAACTATAGACAGTGATCAATTTGATCTACTCAAAGACGAGATAACACAAACAACAACATCAATTTGTATTGTAGTGAAGATTATGTGTTGCAAACATTCCTCAATATTACCAACATTTTTTTACTTGAATCCAAATGACTGATATTGTTCACCTTGACATTTGAACTTGGCATTAATTTGTTTTAAATCCCACAGCGTTATCCATTCACCTTTAGATATACAGTAGGTAATCATTATTCAACAGTATTTAGCCTTAAAAAACAACTGGAACCATGGGAACATTGAGTGACTAACATTCAAGCCTGTAAAACTTTGAGCACTAAAATCTTTGAGGGAACCAATATTCACTAGGCTACAGGAAAATAAAACTGAAAAGTTTGAAAACTAATGTTAATAAGGACACTGTATTCGACCGTTAATTGTTTCATGATATAGTTAAAATATGATCACAGATGATCCTAATCATTTCAAAATGAGTCTCTAGGCCAACTCGAATGGATTATATCAGTCTCATAAATTAATAGAAACTTTTTGTTTTAATGACAATGATAAATATAAACTAGCAGTAGAAGTTAGGGTACCCGTTTCGTTCTGTATGAGGCTAGTCAGATGGACGTAGTTGCACTTCAACCTCCTCCTTCCCCCCCCCCCGCCGCCACCCCCCATCCTACGTGCGTGCTGTTCACACTGAGACCTTGAACAACAACCCACAAGTACTAAAGTCCTCTTCACTAGATTAGTGAGTCATGATAGCTACTTCTCATGAAACATCTAAAGTAACTGATTAATTCAGTCCAATAAACGATGGAGTTTATAACCTATGACATTAAAATGGACCATATTTTATTAACATGGAGTGAAGTATATCAAACGCTGATTATATTTTCTTTCTATTTCTATGTTGAAAAAATATACATAATATTATTTATTTCAAAGTTGACTGTACGATTCGGAAAACACAAACACTGTTATTTGTTAACTGAAGGCAATTACAACAAACTCCTAATAAATCATTGTTGACACATTTTAGGATAATGTGTATTCAATGTCGAAGGAACACTATATCTTTACAAGGGAAACCGAATATTTGTTACTCAGATCTGTAGCGCACAAAACCTCATTTGATCCTGAAGGTTGATTAATGAAAATCTACTGTTTTCATTAATGGACCAGTACAAAAGAAGTTCTATTCACTTTACTCCATGAATGTTAAGTCAAGATGACAGATACATCAATATTAATCTAGTTCCCTTCATCTAATACTAGTTGGTAATCAATTTTTTATAATTAACTAATAACAAGTGATGTTATGCCCTAGCAACAAATTAGAAAAAAATAATCTCCTTCCCTCTAAGTTTACCTATAAGGTATTGACTTTTAAGGAAGACTAACTTATCAACATAGAAACTAGCTGTCTAGTAGTGATAAATTAGTTGGTTGTGGCTAGCTGAAGAATCCAGGATGCGCACTTCGTCCTATTTCGGACTCTTCAGTTGGATGTATCTCCACCCCGGTGATGTCGTTCCTATTGGGACTCGAACCTCGTACCGATCGCTACAAGCGATGCCATGGAAGAACGATAGCCACTTCTTGTACAACGGGCCATAGTTATTACTATTTATTGACATACTTGTTATTCTCCGTATGCCAATAGAGGTCGAACAATTCGATCTAACAAAGATGGGTGCGAGGTTCGAGTCCAAGTGGGAACAACATCACTGGGGTGCAGGTACATCCAGCTAACGAGTCCCAAATAGGACTTAACGCGCATCCTGGGTTCTTCTGCTAGCCATAACCAATCAGTTTATCATAATTAGCATTCGAGTAATATCGAGGCATCCGCATAGGAGCCTATATGCCAATAGAGGTCGAACAATTCGATCCAACACAACAAACAACGGAGAACCACAAGTATGTCAATAAATAGTAATGTCGAGTAGTGCATCTATTTTCTGAATTTTATTAGATTATTCAGTGCATAGGTGGTCCACTGAGGTACATTCTTCTAAGTAGATAACTTATAGTCTATAAGCCAAGAAGTGAAATAACAATACTTGAAGACTATAAAATCAGAAATGTTAGCACTAAAATACAATTAGTAATTGTAAATCTTTTAATCAAAATAATAAGACTAATGATATTCCTTTGAATTGTGATAATTTATGTCAAAGTTGATGAATCACATAACTTTGATTTCATAATAAAGTGCTTATAGTAGGTTTTCATCTTATCTGTAGGTACATTAATGATGTTGCTTATACTATATCGTCACTGAGTGGATTGAATTGATCTCTCTCTATTTGGATACGGACTTCTGAGTGGATATCTTGATATTGCCTGTGTTTTGAATTATATATTAATGATGGGTAGTGGCTAGCAACAGAATCCAAGATGTGCTTTTCTTTCTATTTTGGACTCACTAATCAGTTGGATTCATCTAACTCTCAGTGCTGTACCTTATTCTCCAACTCGCTAACGGCCACTCCAAACACCTGTGCGTTATCGATCAGATCACCGAGTCACAACAGCCACATCTTGTATGATGGGCATAGTTTTAATGTTGTTGTTTGTATAGTCCTGTCGCTGAGTGGACTGAACTGTTCGGTCTATATTGGCATATGCGTCCCTGTGTGAATACCTCGATATAACCTGCGTTTCAGCTATATGTAACTGATGGATGGTAGGTAGCAGTGGAATTCAGGGCACGTGTCCTGTAGGCATATTGTTGTAGAGGTACAAGTAGTAGAAAGTGAGTTCTACGATGATAATTGATTCTCAGCATGAGAATGTGAAGGAAATAAGGAGAGAAAAAAATGAACAGTCTTGGATTCTTGCATGACCACTAACACAGCTAACAATTACATACGAAAATACGAGGTGTTAGCAGTTAGTGGGCCTGAAGACCTATCTGGCACCTGTTTATTGATTCTTGGCAGCCACCAGTAAATTAAATCTGCACACAAATAACTCCCTATAGAACTAGACTTATAACGCGAATCGATCACTTGTAGGCAGTGGATATAGTTTAAAGAAGTAGCTGTATAGTTCCATTGTGAATGTTCACTGACCTAAAGTCTAGACGTTTCGTAGTAGTAGTAGTAGTAGTAGTAGTAGTAGTAGTAGTAGTAGTAGTAGTAGTAGTAGTAGTAGTAGTAGTAGTAGTAGTAGTAGTAGTAGTAGTAGTAGTAGTAGTAGTAGTAGTAGTAGTAGTAGTAGTAGTAGTACAGAAAACCCATAGTCTGCTAGCATCTTTACAAGCACTGCATATACTAGTGATTATACTTTTGGACATAGCACAGTAAACATTTCGGTTATGTTGTGTTTTCTGAGCTGGATGGTTTAATCATGAAGCTTTCATTGTCTTTCTAGACAACATAATCAGCACCAACTTCAATATGAAGTGAGCTGTCAATATCTCTCTGTGGATGATTCAGCAGCTTGTTTTGACGAAGTGATTTTTTACTGGTCACTTCTTTCGACTGTCAATGACCAAACAAATATTCTTGGTGGCTGTTTCTCTGCCTGACCTCTGACTTTGCTGTTGTTGTTCATTTTTCTAGTTGATCGATAGATTGAGTCGATTTCTATCCATCTGCTGATTGCTGGTTGACCTGAATGCCAAACTTTTAGGAATTCTGTCACATTCTTTGTGTCTCCTCCACTCAGGATGGTAACATAACCAAAGTTGAATTCGTATCCACAGTTGTTCACTTGGATTGAAATTGGCAATGAAACAACTTGTCATTTAGTAGCCATTTGGTCTTCAGGTAAACGAGGGTGGAGAGAGTGACCACTATGTCCTATCTGGTGTTAATCACAATTATTACAGTTGATTTTGTAAATGATATTTACCTTGTTTTCATTGGCTGTTGCGACCTTTGATCTGCATAATACGACCTGAAGGGAATTCGTTGGTTTATGACCCACACCAATTCCAAGTAATCTTATCGTGATCTCCGATATATTCTTTATGTACGATAGAATGGTCCAGTTATTAATTTCTGTGAATGACTTTGTAGCTGATATTGAACAGGATAGACATCTCCTGACAAAATTTCAGTAGTACCCACCTAGTATCCCTCCAGATATCAGACTTCAAACCTTGAGGTTTCACAGCAAGCAAACTACCATTGGAGATCTATCCAGTGGATCAATGGTAAAGTTCTCCCTTCCAAGCTTCAATGTTCTTGGTCTGAACCTTGTCGGGGTCTTTGGTGCACATTGTAGAGTAGTCCCATATTAGGACAGAATGAAGTCATAGTGAAGATAGTAACCTTTTAGACGACTTCTTTTCATAGTTTGTACATTCGTAAATGAATGAGTAAATGGCATGAATGTTCCAGATAAGTTTTCGGATAAAAGCATTGAGCTGATCGGTCAATGTAAAGAAGGGATGTAATGGTATAATGTTATTTCACAAGAAACAGTCTCAAACGTTTTGTAAAATTTACTATACATTAAGATCTGGTACGTGGCAAAAACCAACAAGTTGACAGAAGAGGCAGCGAAAACGGGACTTCAAGTGAATGTAGAGAAGACAGAGGTGATGAAGATACCCAACCAACACCACCACCAACAACAACAAGCTCCTATCACCATTAACGGAGGAAACTTTAAGGAAGTAGCCTCTTTCACCTAACTAGGCAGCATCATTTCAACTACAGGCGGCAAATGCACGGACGAGGATGTCTAAGCCAGGATCGGAAAAGCCAGACAGGCTTTCACTAGTCTGAAATCACTGTGTAGATCCACTGCACTCAGCGTAAAGTGTGAACAAGATCCGGATTTTAAACACAAATTCAGTCAAGTCAGTGCTTCTATATGGTTCAGGAACTTGGCGTGTCACGAAAAGCATTTCCAACAGACTATAGACACTCACCAACAGCTGCCGCCCACGCTCACTCCATACTGAAGATGCGATCAGATGAGAAGATGAGAAAGAATAAGCAAGGGGGAACTCTGGCTGTCTGGCTAGCAGGCAACAAACCAACCAAGAACCTATCACTCAACAAATATGCACTGTAAGGAAGTGGAAATGGATTGGGTATACACTAGGAAGGCCGATTGGGGACATCACGCGTCAGACCAGGCCCTCGAGTGGAATCCAAATGGGAAACGATGAGTTGGGCATCCGTGGTGAGGCTGACATGGAGGAGATGGTGTGAGAAAGAAACGAAAGCTTGTGGGCAGTGGCGAAGCCAGGTTGAGAAGACTGGAGAGAAGAGATTGGAATTAAAACGTGCTACTGAAGCTGTATGTTCCACTAGGAACCCAAAGGGAAAAATAATAATACGTAATAAAAATAAATGAACAGATCTATAGATGTAAAAATGAATGAATTACAAAAAAGTATGGTGAAAACAGAGAATAAGAGTATCCATCTAGAGATTTATTAATTGATTTTGGGTTGGAGTTCATTATGAACTGACATCCGGGATCACCTTTCGAAGCTAGTCGCCAGTGAGCTGGACTGGGTTCGAGAGGTGATTCCTGAAATCCCAATGACAAGCCGCTACCGGTGGAGTCAAGCAAGTTGCGCATGAGGACACTTACTCAACGACGATATTGGATGGGGGTCGCGCTGTGTCGTGATCTGATGGAAGTAGGAAATATGGACCGCTTGATTCCGACCCAGTGGCTCAATGGTAAGGTGCTGACCGTGAAACCTGGCGGGGTCAGAGGTGCGTGCTGCTGAGGAGTTCCATGCTAGGATGTAACAGGTAGCTGTTTAGTGCTCCCAGGGTTCCAATGTTCCTCCGAATGATGTCAGTCCATGAAGAATTTCAGCCTTAAATAAGAGTATCTGTTGAAGGCCAGAATAAAGAAATATTCACTGTGACTGAAGCTTTCAGTTCACTTCTTCCATTTAGTAGGTTTTGATTGTATTGTGATTTATCACCTGGGTTATTTAATCGTGTAGCTTTCATCGTCTTTCTAGACGGCATCATCAGTTGATGATGCCGTCTAGAAAGACGATGAAAGCTCCACGACTAAACAACCCAGTTCAGAGAACATAATACAATCAAGACCACCCACCTGAGCTGCAAATATTCTCCATCATTTAGTAAGTTTCCTTGGGTGATCTCGTAATCAAACTTGATGATTTGTACAGAAAAATTCAAATGATGAATACGTCCAATGTGAAAAACAAAGATGAGGAGAGTTAGACAGGCAACCTGCTGTCGCATTCCCTTTTTGCGATTTAGTATTCTTACTGTGGAGATGAAGTAACCGTTTGACCTCCTTTGACCTTTCATTAAAGTAGTTAATATGACTAATTTAATCATATTGGTAGGGTAAAATGTAATGAGTGTTTACCTTTCTGTAAAAGTAGTACTAAGGGTTCTCTACTGTTTATATGTAGGATCATCCTTGGTCTCTCAGTGGCCGATGAAATCTCTGCACGAATAAAAACGGCTCGGCTGACTTTTGTCAACTTACGCTAACAGTGACGCCACTGTGATATCGGATTTTCTATTAAGGGTCGCGTGTACTCCACAGCAGTCCAGTCTGTTCTACTGTATGGCTGTGAAACATGGCCATGGAAGGTGGAAGATATGAGAAGGCTTCACGTGTTTGACCGCCATTGCCTTCCTAGTATAGACCGCATTCAGTGGTGTCACCAAGTGAGTAATGCAGACGTCACGCGTAAAGCTTTAGGGAGAAGAAGTAAATCAGTTGGCATGGTTTTGAACTTTCATCGATTGAGATGGTTGGAACATGTGTTACCGATACTTAGCCACCGTCTACCTCGTCACACAATGTTTGCCGAAGTAGGTCCCGGCTGGAAAAAGGCGTGAGGTGGCCAGACTTAAACATGGCATCAATGTATGGAATATTTGACTGTTAGTTTGAGCCACGTGGGGCGATTCAGACTAGGTAATTGGGGTCCGTGCGACAAGAGAAACCAGTGGTTGGAGACTGACTCTAGGTGATATGACTCAGAACCGATGTCAGTGGGACAGATATATCCCCACACACATTATCCTCATCTTAACGCTATCCCGAGTCTCACCATTCTCTCATTCTTCTTTTCTCTTTTCTAGTACTTGAAATTTCTTTTGACTGAGTTTTCCTTTCTTCATTTTCCACTTCACTGCCTTTTTACTTGATGTACTGATATGAGGTGTGACAAGTTGGACCGTTGAGCAGTAGTGCCTGGTCCTATATTGACTTGAATAGATGACGATGGATGGATATGTGTATATTCACATGAAGCTATCCATTAACTCCACTGGAGGCTTGATACCTCTTCAAGTAGTTCGTTTAATAAAAGATAAATTGTAAGTTTTGTTGACTGGCTGAGTCCTCTGTCTGATTTGTCATGACGAATTGTCCAAAGATAACATATTCACCATCATAACTTTTGAAGACTCCTGTATGAATGGCTGAATACAAAGTCATTGATGACTGAAGTAAAACTAAGATGTGGTCTGCGGTTGTGTGTCGTATCTTAGTTGGCAGAACTCCAGGTCAGTAACCAAGAAACCGCTGGTTCGAATCCTGTCATCACCCAGATTTTCATTTTCCTTTCGATCATAACTCAAAATGTTTGTTCAAAATATTGTCATTAATTTATGTTCAGGTAAAATAAATACGAAATTGCTTCCAATCTATTCGGAGATTATAAACTTGAATGCCAATTGGCTTGAATTTATACTTTCAGGTTAGATTTTTGGAGCCAGTTGGCAGAAATTTTTACTTCAGCTAAGTTTCAAGCTTGTTGCCACTCATCAGCCCCATATAGCGTTGGTTGCAGCCTGAGAAACTTAGTGATAAAATCCTTGGCTTTAACACTCACTAATATAGACCCAAACTGCTGATGGGTCTTCCGTCTCCTAACGGTTGCAAGTTCACCTTGCTGATGATTTCCAACAGGTCCAAAACCAATGTCAAACAAGACTGCTTGTATTCATAAAACTCTACATAGTAAATCAAAACACGTTGAAATCTGTGTAGAATCACAGCTAAAATTAGTCTATTTGATGCTTAAAAATGATTATCTAAAAAAAATTTTTTTTAGGGTGTCATTCAAATGATGCGTTCTATCCAGAAATAGATGTACAGTCAACTGAAAAGCCTTTAACATTCAACGATCTGTTCAATAATTTAAGACATATAGACAGTGAAGGTAAGCAAATTTTCCTAACAGATAACTTACCTTTCAGTTCTCAGATATCGAAAAGCTTCAGTTGTAACTTATGCATACATTTATATCTGTATGCATACTACTTAATAATTTCACACTAAAAACACACCAAACGAGATGGTTGAACTTGAATGGACTTAAATCTGAAAACAGCTGAATCCGTATCAAAAGATCAAACTGCTGGTCGCCTAACAGGGTATAAGCATCAAGTAATGATAAACAATAATAAATGAAATAAAACAGTAGTCTAAATGCAAAAATATAAGCAAGTTAAAATCGTCATGATATGACCCTGAAGTAACCAATAGGCAACCAAGGTTAATCTGAAGGTTACTAAACAATCAGTAAATACTTACCATTGGAATGTGGCTATAAATTTTCATATAACGCCCACACTAACTACAACTAAGTGCTTTAACCCAAGATGGTATTGCCATTCGTAAGACTTCTACAAGCACAGACATGAATTATTCAGTCAAGTTAATTGAGAAAGACAATAAATGGTATGAATCCCAAAACGAAATGTGAGCGTTGGAATAAGACTGCAGAGCAGCTGTTGATTGACCAGTCCTACGCATTAAAAATTACTATTATTTTAACGTTTATTCTTCTCACATGGATGGTCAGTGGTTAGCTGTGGAATTCATCACGTGTATTTACTATCCTTTGAGACTTACACCCTTTGGATATGGTTACATTCTAGTAAATGTTGATGTTCCTACTGAGACATGAATCCATCAATCATCATTTCAGAAGCCAGAATGCTATTCAGTGGGCTACTAAATTTCATTACGACTGTTGAATTCAACGACTATCCGTTGATAATAATTTGTCGCATTCAGGTCCCAAAGCAAAAAGTAACACTTACTGACGATACATGAAGTGGATAAGAAAAGCAACTATTCTCCCTCATACTGAATACTCCACCGAGTCGTGAAAGCCAGAAGGCAAAGACTGGCCTGTGATTGCAAGGGAATAAACTTTTATTTGACACCTTTTTTACCAATAAAGAGTATGAATTGGAGCTACAACTTGTTTTTCACAAGATCAAGTTGACACTAGAGGGAAGATCAAATACTGAACTGTCTTTCTTAAATGTTTTAGTAGTGGAGCCAATACCAGAAAATTGGAGAGTTAAGTTTACAGGACGCCAGCACGCACCACGGGAATCTCAAGAATTGATGGCATGCTGACCTTATTCGAAAATGCAAAAGGACACTGCAGTAGAACGATTTCACATAGAAATGAAGAAAATTACTTCATAACTGTATCAAAGAAGAATGCTTGGTTGCCTATGAAGCTTCATTAGAAGATGCCTATCCACTGCATCATCAACTCCAAAGTCGGAAGAAGAACCACGGTAAGGCACATAAGGTATCAATCAGAAATTGTGACAAGAATACTCAGGTAATTCGAAACTGATGTAGCCATAAACCAAAGAATTCCTTGCGAACTATACTATACAGAGCAAAGGAAGCAACAATTGAAGAAGATAAACCAAACATCATTTCCACCTCAGATGAAACAGGTGACGTCAGTACTCTTTTCACCTTGCTCTACGTAGTAAAACAGCGTCACAAAATTTCACCTTTTATGTCAGTCCGTGTGGACAATAATGGATATGGATGGGCATTTGAGAATGTAGAGTTTTTGGGTAGAAGAAACACAAAGAATACCAAAGGAATTCCTAGAAGCTTAGAACCGAGGCCAAACAACAATCAAGAGGTGTGTTGACAAGGAAACCGTCAAGCAAATAATAAGGAAAATGATAAACCACAGCTAGGTTAAAGATCAGTGAGAAAGACAAACCATAGTAAATTAGTGATGTAATAATCAAGTCAAGCTACTGATGACATACCACTTCGTCAAGACAAGCTGCTTAATCATCCACGGAGTCGTACTGATAGCTGACATCATGTTGAAGACGTTGCCCAAAAAGATAATTTAAGCTTTATAGTTAACCCATTTAGATCAGATAAAGTCAAACAGCCGAGATCATCTACATGATCTACAAATTATTCTGTATCATTTTAATGCTAAATATCTTATTGTCCTATTTCTTCGATTGTTTTTTTTTTCACAGTTGACATCTCAGAAATTTACCCGTACAGAAATAAGTCCTCAGTGTGTATACAATCACCATCGAAACACTTGTATAATCCACTTGTGTTAAATCAATCCTATACACCATTATATCATATTTACATTCCAAACAATAATGATAAACCAATAAAATTACACTCTGAAGAAAATTTCAATTGTTTCAATATGAATGAGTCAAATTTTCCTTATAATAGAACTGATAACTATTCAAACATTGATCTAAGTGAAAGAAGTAAGTCATTCCCTGGAGGAAACATGTATTCTTCTTCTTTATGTATGCCTCCGTTAATGGAACGATCTATGGAAGATGATGAATATCAAATGTATAAATTAAAATGAAAATTAGTAATAAATAAAGAAAAAAAAAAGTGAATTCTTTTCCAAAAACAATCTGATCCCTTGTTTTTATTCAACAACTGTACAAAATCTTATCAGATACTTAGAATGTGTATATATGTATAACAAGAGGCATTGAGAATAGTATCTACCTTATCTCCATTATTCATTATACTACACAATTGAATGATTATACAAACATCTTTATTACATAACCATATTGCTATCAATCTCCTTCAATAAACTTATTCTACATTGCATTTAATTGATTTATAATCTCTTATACTGTTTGTTTATAATAAATACATTTTGTACAAATAATTTCATATAAAGGTAGAATAATTACTTGGTTAAGATTATTATGTTATGTTAAAATACCACAGAAGTGAAAAGAGAAATGAATTTCAATCGACTGACAAACACATTAGTCATAAATTCCACAGGATTTGTTTCAGTCTTATATATTATGACAAGATAAGAGAACAAGTTAAACTGTATACGAATGATATTTGTTAGGTGGTTGTTGTCAGTATAAATCAGTATATTGGACTGGTAACATTTAAGATTCATCAGTTGAGGTGACATTCATCCGAATACGTTTCCCTATTCCTACATTTTATTATATTATTTATCCCTTGGATTCCTTGTGGAATATAGGGCTTCAGGAACACATCTTCATTCCACTCTCTTCTCTGCAATCTTTCGAACCTGGATCCACGACTCCCCACAAGCTCTCATTTCTTCCTCATACCACCCCCTCCATGTCACTCTCACCTCGGATGCCCAACTCGTCGTTTCCCACTTGGATTCTACTCGAGAGCCTGGCTTGGCCCGAATGGTCTTCTCAATGCATGCACAATCCATCTTCACTTCCTTCCAGTGCATATCTGTTGAGCGATAGCTTCTTGCTTCATTGGTTCATTGTCAAACCAGAGTTCCTCCTTGCTTATTCTTATTATTCTGACCATCTGAGCTCCAGTAATGAGCCAGTGTAGGCAGTTGTTAATGAATATCTGTAGTTTTTTGGAAATGCTTTTCGTGACGCGCCAAGTCTCTGAATCGTATAGAAGCACTGACTTGACATTTCTACATATACTCAAACTAATTTGTTTAAATTCCCCAGTGTTCGTTGGTAGTTTTGAATATAAACGTATTCACCTACTGTGCACCAAACAATCTGATTTACATCCATCACTTACTGATATCAGTCTGATGAGCACTAGAGAGCCCTCTTGTACTACTGAAAGACTTCTCAGCAGTGCACACTGGTGACACCATGAGAGTTAAATTCCTGAAACAGGATGAAACATGCTTCCTAGACTCCACTGTTAACCACCACTCAAGCACAGAACATCAAAATGAAACTTGGGACAGTGTAAATATATTTGATTTATTCTAAACCATAATTCTGTTTGCATTACAGAATTCTCAGCATGTCATATTCCACCAGGTTACCCATTATACAACTTTTTTTAAAGTTATCTTAAAAACTGTCAGGTTTAATGATAGATAATAGAAACTTACATGAATTTCGAAATGTTGAATGACTTCAGGGACATGATAACCGTTCGCTATTGTAAGGCTTATTGATAGGGCTATATCTAACACAATTTTCTTCACACAATACACAATCTAAATAAGTTGGTACGGTTGAATTTTTGTATGTAGTTGTGCATGCATAGAGTTTAACATGTTTGCTTCGTGTCTTCCTTGATGACAAACAGATATGGTGAGAGGTATGAATGCAGACGATACTTACCAATAACAGACTTCAAAATCATATGCAGTACAATGTAGTCTCTTTTTCTCGGAGTTCAAGAAAGAATAAGTGCAAGCAATAAGTAAGTATAGGAAAACATAGGAACTAATGTAAAGTAAGAGTAGACGCCGAGTTATGCCAGAAGTTTCCTTATGTAAAAGGTTAAGTGAAACATTTTCTTGAAAATCAATAGGATATGAGGAGAACAATACCAGCAGAAACTGACCATGTCGTTTGTCGAAGAATATCTATGCCAGGATCTTCACTAAGTGATACAATTTTCCGTCCAACATTCGCTGATTCTGTGCTGTTTTTTATAATCACCACATAAACCTTCGGTTCTCATTAGAATAGACAAATTTTCAAAAATACTTTGAGGAACGTTAATAGCATCAAACTAAAAGAAAAGATGTAAACATATGATTTTTAGACCTAAGGATTTGACGACGATGCACTTCTAGTCATTGTTAGTTAATATCATTTTGCAGAGTCCATGATAAAAATCTGTTTTGTAGCCACTCAACCAAATAGAATAACAGTAAAGCACGCAGCATTTTTTTACTATATGTTCGGAGTCAATGGTCGGGTAGTTCCTAGGTGACATATATTTCATTCACCCCAGCAATCATAAAATGGGTTTCTATGATGGAGGTTCGGTATTTGAAGAGCTTCGCCATTTTGATGTAAACGTTTCATCACCAGGCTTGATAATAACCTGAGCACTAACTTCATAAGGAAGTGAAGCATCTTTGAATGCTACACGAATGTTTACCATTTATTATTATTTGTCCCATGGGTTCCTAGTGGAACATAAAGCTTCAGTAGCACGTCAGAATCTCACTCTCTTCTCTCTAGTCCACTCAACCTGGCCCCACCAATCCTCATGACCTTTCATTTCTTCCTCATACCATCTGTCCCCATGTCACCCTCGAACACCCAACTCATCGTTTCCCATTTTGGTTCCACTCGATGACCTGGACTGGCGCGTGATGTCCCCAAATAGTCTTCTCAATGTGTGTCCAATCCAATCCATCTCCACTTTCTTCTGCATATATGCTGAATGATAGGTTGTTGGTTGGTTCGTTGGCAGGCCACACTTCCTCCTTGATTATACTCTCTGTCCATGTGATCTGATCTTCAATATGAAGTGGGCGTAGGCGGCAGCTGTTCATGAATGTCTGCAGGTTATTGGAGATGCTTTTCGTAAGGCACTAGGTCTCACAACCATTACATAGAAGCAGTAACTTACTTGACTCAATTAGTGTTGAAAATCCGGATCTTGTTCATGCTTTATGCTGAGTGCATAGAAGTGCAGTGTGGTGCATTAGATCTCCACACTGATCACAGACTAATGAAGGAAGACTTGTCTTCCTGTCTTTCTTATCCTGGATTTTACATTGTCATCTGTGCCGCCACCATCGCCTGTAGTTGAAACTATGCTTTCTAGGTTGGTAGGTGAAAGAGACAACTTCATTCAGTTTCCTGCCGTTGATGGTGATTGGAGCTTACTGTTGTTGTTGGTGGTGGCTGGTTGGGTATCTCTATCACCTATATCTTCCGTACGTTCACATGAAGTTCCGTTTTCGCTGCCTGCCTCTTCCGTCAACTGGTTAGTTTTCACCTGTAGATCTTTGACTTTGTGTGACATGAGACATAAATTATCGGTCTGCTCTTGAGTATTGTTCAACTGTAAGTTGGAGAAGGGATTTCTGTTACACCTTGACCTATTTCACCTTACATTTCACTCAGTCATGTTGATACAACATTTTTATTCAAGTGAAGTTGTGCTACTTGCCACCATCCCACTGCTCCACAACTGACTCGTTTGATCAATTTGCACTTGTCTAATAGATGGTTGTTTCATTCTTAAGTACATCGTAGATTGGGTCTGTACCCATATGTCGGTCAGTTGGCTTCCCGAACGACGTCACTGGGGTACAGGTACATGCAGGTGACGAGTACCAAATAGGACGAAACACGCATCCTGGATTCTTCTGCTAGCCACAACCAAACAAATTATCATAATTAGCATTCGAGCAATATCAAGGTATCCGCATAGGAGTCCATATACCAATAGACGTCGAACAATTCGATCCAACACAACAAACAACGGAGAATAACAAGTATGTCAATAAATGGTAATATTAAAATAATGTTATTAATAACAATAATAAAAGCCACAAAATGAAATAAACGCCTGATAGTATATTGGCGTCTAGTTTGAACTGGTGAATGAATAGAATATTGAGCATAATTTTGCTGGTGTTAGTAGTTTATTCAGCCAGTGTCGAAATCTGCAATTCAATCTAGCTATCCAATGAACAGTAATCAACTATATTTCTATGCCTTTATAAGCCCATCTCCTCTTTGTTGTTAACTTGAAAAACAGTAGTTTGAAACTATTTTAAAACTGTGCAAGACTACATGATGCATTTATAAGATTAAAACCAAGTAAAAGGAGAAGAATTTGATGAAATAAATTCCGTTGAAAATTTTTGTTAGCCAAAAGTTTAAATAGGCCGCCAGCTGTCATAGTGCTTTCTCAGTTGTTTTACAGATATAAAGTGTGTCAATATGAACCATTATGCAGAAATCGCAGGTCCTATGCCGATTTTATCTGTATATCTATAATAGGGTAGTATTTCTAGTTATCCGAACATCGCCTGGATAACTAGTTCACTAATCACTAGCCGGTCCTAAGACCGGGTAAAGAGGGAAGGTTTGGCATACGGCTAGCAACCCCTCACCGCAAAACAAATCCATCCGCTAAAGAAACTTCAAAGCATAAACAAAATATAAAAAATAAAAACGAAATTGTTCCTCGCTGGGATTGGGGGGGGCGAAATGAAGCCCGTTGGTGAAAGCCTGACTTCGGGAAGCCCATTCGTCTATGTGTCTCCTCTCTCTCTCGATGAATGAGAAAGTAAACATGGGGACATGGAATGCCCGCACCACGTTTGAACCCAGCTGGTAGGGCAGCCCAGATTACAAACGAGATGAGAAGGTATCACATTGAAGTGCTTGGAATTTGCGACAGCAGATGGAATGGGAGTGCACTCTCCAAACTGTCAACTGGAGAATCAATAATCTAATCTACTCCGATATTGTCACCCAGACGACAACAACGAGCACACTGAATTATGGAGTAGCTGTCAAGATGTCCCCTCCGAGAGCATCGAAGTCTCTCATGCAGTGGGAACCAATCTCCTCCAGCATCAGGATCATGACACCAAGGTTCAACTCA